CATCTTTGCTTTTAGGCTGCTGCAGATCTCAATCCAAATGGCTGAGTGGCTGTATATCTGAATTTCATACCAAGGGATATGATTTGAATTATCTCGCAGTAGCATTTGGAATAGGATCTAAGGTATCTAAATTGCACAGCTCCCAGTGGGGAAAAGATGGTATGAGGAAGGAAAGGAACAAGTGAGAGTTTTGCCTTTGCACTGGCTGTTGAGCAATAGTAGATGGCACTGTGTTTCAGTTTCATCCTTAGTTAGAACCCATTGGTTTCCCCATTTTGTTTTTTAAACACTATTCAGACCAATACATATATGAACAAATACTTCAAAAAAAAATTCAAATACAAATCAAACTAGTAGGGCTAGAAGCCAGCTAAAACCAAATTGGTTGTGATTTTGAAAGACAAATAATTCAGACCAATTCAAAGTGAGATGATATACACACACGTCCATTTTAAATGCTCCCGCCTCCCTCAGACCAAATTTTCTCCTACTGATATTAATATTGGAACTTGTGTGGGCTCTGCACTCTGCTAGAGTAATGTAGAAATATTGAGAAGCTTGTGAAATGACTACTTGCCCTTTCACAAGTGATATCCACTCCAGAGACTTGGCTGTTTACCAACAAGGGACAGGGTTGTGTCTAATGTGGTTTTTCTAATGTGGTTACACCTTAATGAAGCCCACCAGGGAGTGAGACAACTCCTCCCCTCCTTATATGTGGAGAAGGCTCACATTTCCAGAGAGGTATGGAATGCTGAGCCAGGTTCCTTCCCCTCCCATAAGCCATAAATGAAAGGACCAGTTGCCCACGTGCTGGAACTTTGGCAGGGGGAATGGGTAGCTGCGATATGCCACCTCATCCCAATGAAATTTAGAAAGTACAGAAGTTGGAAACAATCACCAGTTTTGTTTGGTTTGGTTTTAATCCCTTTTCCTGGCCACAATTTTGTGGGTAAAGGACATCGCTGTTTATTTCAACCTGCCTTGCATTTCAACAAAGTGTTCAAGGCAACTAGCAAAAAGAGACTTGAAACTCAGCATAGCGTAATTAAGGGGGGGGGGAATATTGACCAGAAACTCTGGAAAATCAAACAAACAGTGAATGCGGAAATGAAAACAGTGCTCAAAATAGTAGAACCGCAACGGGAGGAAAGTAATCCATTAAAATGCTTTCCCCTGGCATCCAGAAGATAAGGTCTGTGCCAAAAATATAGCTGAAGTTAACTTCTGTATGAGCATAGAGACAAGTGGAACAATTGTTCCACACCCAGAACAGGGAATGTTTGGCCCTCCAGATGTTGAGGTTAATGGTGGGATTCAAATACAGGACCTGGACAATTCAGATGCATCTCTCCACTGACTTCTGAAACTCCTTATATGATCATGGGCTGATTAATCCCTCTCAACCTAACCTATTTTACAAGGCTGTTGTGAGGTTAAAATGAAGAAGAGCCATATAGCATTCATCTTGGAACAGATAATTGGTTTCAACTTGTGTGCCTACGTTCAGAGATTTTACTAGTTCAAAAACCTTTGAGGAGATGCTGCTGCAGAGGTAACCCATTTTTGCAAGACAGTTTAAAGTATATTTTTGGGAGAGAAAAAGCAGTATCAAGCTGCAAATCCATCTCCTCAATGCACTCGGCTAAATAACGTTGCAGATGCAAATTTGGCCACAAGCCGGGCAAATTCACCTTTTACATCTAATGGGGGACTTGAGATGTTTAGTCCTTTGAAGAAGAAGGGGAGGGGAAGTATGTTTTGCTTGATTTAAGGAAGAAATTATGACAATCTAATTCCAAGGCACATTTTCTGATTGTTCCTGAACCACATTCAGAATTAAAATATAATACAATAAAAAGCCTGGGGCTTTTAATGAGCAATGTTGTATGACAAAAGCGCTGGATTAATCAAAGCCCCTAATTACATTTCATGGACGCACATAGACAAAAAAATATCAGATGGAAATTAGGAATGAATAGAAAGAAGAAAAATACAGGATTTGATTCAAGGGTTACGGAACTTTTTAATATACCAAATGATGGTGCAGTTCTGTTTAGAAGCCTTATTTTGTTCAACAGGACTTAATTTCAATAATTATCTAGAGATAAGCATTGCTCAAGAATCTGAGCTTAATGAAAGACCTGTACTACTGCTTACTGTTTGTTGTGTTTTTCTCTTTGGTCTAAATAATTTTTTTTAATGATTAATGTGTACGGCAGTCTTTTAAAAAACGTAGGACATAACAGAACACAGTAGAGTAAAATGCATTATTTTTTAGAGATATGAATTCAGCGTCTCCCTCTTGGAGATAAAACAGGAAGCAAAACAAAAGAAAACAAAAAGATCTCTCTTTTTCTCTTCAGAGCGAGATCTGTCAAGACAAGATTTTTTTTTCCTCCCTAAGAAATGTTGTGGGGAAATCCTGCAACATGCCATCCAAGTTTCATGGTCATTTTATTTTTCTTGAAGGAATTCCAGGCTGTTGTAGTTTTTTTATGGTGCAAGATCCACATGAAAGAACCTCAGGAAGACACAATGGCCTGTAATTATCATGCAATTATTTTACTTTTGTTCTGTATTTAGCTATGAGATTACTTTTGAGGAGAGACGGGAGCTCTGGAATAAAAGTTACTAAAGGAATATGATGTTTGCAAACCTGAGCTTCAGTTTCTGTGTTCCACATAAATGTACAGATTCTAAGTTGCTATCAGACATTGATCCAGTGCGTGTTTTGGCACCGCCCAGTTTGATCTATTTTCTCATGGCTACATGATGCACGGGAAACTGTGAACCAGCCCAGCCCTGCTCCATGCCCATCCAGATCTTTTTGGCTCAGTCGCAGGGCTGCTCGTTTTTGGAACCGACCCGGCACCATGGGGATCGGACTGCATTAAAGAGTCGCTTTAAAGGAGAATGCACCCAGTGAGGAGACCCTTCCCAGCACGATGCAATAGCGCCCGTAAACTCTCCACCTCTACCGATCCCAATTCATTCCTTTCTGTTGCAATAATTCCTGAAGCTATTTGGCTGCCTCTGTTGCTCTGAATCGCCTTTTCTATAAATGTGGGTAGTTATTATCTCTGTGCTGTGTATAATTAAAGGCAGTAACTGTAATAATTGTCCCATTCAAGAAAATGGATTGTTAAGCTCATTTCCTTGCTGTTGTGGATAACAGCAATCTTGTTACAAAAGCGCCAATTTGTTCTCATTATGGCTTGCTTTCCTGAGATTTCGTATAGCGTGTCTGCTTCCACCTTGTGACTATTTATTCTTATTTTTGGTCAAGGACTGGAGGACTTAAACCAGGAACATCTAGATTCTGTGGCTAGGGCAGAGCATAGTAAGAAATCGGAGATGATGTGACCTCAGGGTTTCCTGGCCCTTTTTCAGGCACAGAGGACAACAGTGAGGGTCATGGCAAGGGTGGTCTGTCCCTGAGGAGTATGGGTGGAGCCGCCACTCTGAGCTCCCAGGAAGGCTAGGAGGAAGGGAGCCCAGGTGGGGAACAGCCGGTCACCAGGCGAGGAAGGTTGCGCCTGCAACATTCAAGGGTTTGCAATGCCCAGTGAGGGGTCAGCTGAGGGGAAGGCCAGGAGGTCTGAGCGGAGGAGTTGGAGCCTGTCCTCTGCACGTTCAGAGAGTTGGTCTGGGAGGAGTTTAGCTACCCATGGCCGGAGACTCCTAGCTGCTTCCCGGGGAGAGTAGGGGCAGAGGCCAGGGAAGAGGAGCACCCATTACTCCAGCCCCAGGAGAGGCACCCGCCCCACCAACGTCATGGCACCTGAGATGGCGCTAGTGTGAGAAAGCATCCGTGTGAGGAAAGGAGGAGGCTTGCCAAATAGCCGGAGGGCCGCCAACGCCTGCCAGCTGCCTCTACCGCTCCTTGCTGAAGGGTCTGAGGTTGGCTTGTTTATTACAAGGGCTGCCTGAGCGACAGGAACTGAGGCCAGTTCAGAACCGACTCTCCCCAGGAGATTAGTGTGAGAAACCTAGTCGCCTGGCATGCAGGAGGGCGGTGATGGGCAAGAATGGAACAAAGCACCTGGCTGAATAGAGCACCGTCTCACCCGCAGCCTGGAGCCGATGGAATGGTTGTTGGGAGACCTTCGAGGCCACTGGCTGTGCTGGGGCAAGGGCGCTCACAGGGTGTAACATCAGTCTGTGCAACTGGCATGATGCTTGTTGGTTGGCAGGCGGGGCGAGGCTTCGGGACTCACCAATGGCAGAAATATTAGGCCTTTTGTAGTCAACAGAGCTCAAGAAAAAGATGCATGGTTGGAGCATGATGCTCTGGATTGCCTGAGGCTGGTATATATACTGGAAAGACAGGCTTCTGACATTGGCCTGGTCCACCCAGCAATACTACCTGTGCCAGCTGCAGCTGCAAAAACCCTGGCACTACATACCAACCAACGCTGCTATCTCTTGTATCGTTCCCTATATATACATTTTTCTCTAGGATTGCTCAGTGAGGGTCCATCAGCTAAGAGTAGACAGATCTCTTTATTCTGTTCCTATTACTGTCCTTGTTTCCTCATCTCCAAGTTAATTCCATGCTGGTTCTGTGTGGAACGTACATTTGTTCATTAATAGAATTATGCATTTGTATAATGTGTGTTTTTCACATGAACACAATAATGGCCATGCGCCACTCTTGTGCTAATTTTGGAAATATATGAAAGTGTGTGAGAGTTTTGGGAGAGAAAAACACATTTTTCTAGTATGTGTGCATCGTGTAATGTTTGCTTTTCTGTTATACAGAATGCATTGTAAGCCAAGAGGCGTATGGCTTTCCAACCCCAAATTGTGGTCTGTTCTGTTTAAGGTCAAAGAAGCAATGAAGGGTGCAAATACTTTTAAAAAATCCTCAGCCAGCCAGCACATTTCTGATTTTTAGCAAATCATCCAGATTTGTTTTTCTAAGAGGATTCTTCTGGATTTTGGCTATTTATCCTAAAAGAGCGGTCAGTTGACATTCCAACCCTTTCATGTTGCAGAAAACCCCAGAGAATCTTGCTTTGATCCTGGCATGATTAAGAATGGTACCCGGGCAGGAAGTGAGCTGAAACTGGGATCAACCATCACTTATTACTGTGACAGTGGCTACATGATTGAAGGAGCCTCCACCTTGACATGCATCATGGGAGGAGATGGGAAACCTGTCTGGAACAAGGCACGGCCCACATGTACAGGTAAGCTTTATCAAAGGGTGGAAGAAGCTCAACATGTTTGTAGTACTGATGCAGATGGTATGCACCTGGAATAATAGAGCCATTGAACCAGAACAAGAGGAGCACACAAGCCTATCAGTTCTGATTAATCTTCTGTGCATTTTTTTTAAATCTTCTAAGTTCTATCTGTCCCCAGTATGGAGAAAATTGCATACAGTGATCCATTCAACATTTACCAATTTAGAGATGGAGGGAGAGAATTCTCCCCAATCTCCACTGGACTGGTTCAATACGTAGGTTGTATTCATCTGCCATATACCAACTAAAGATGCCATATAATGAACTTTTCTCAGTGGGGGAACAAGAGGAGGGAAATCCCAGCAGATCTTAGTGAATGGGCAGATTTATATGGGGAGAAGCACTTCTTTAAACATCCAGGTTGCAAGCTGTTTAGGGCTCACATTGCAGTGGTTAAACTGCAGTACTGCGGCCAAAGCTCTGCTAACAGCCTGGGTTCAAGTCCAGGCAACTGGCTGGAGATTCACTCAGCCTTCCATCCTTCTGAGGTCAGTAAATTGACTACCCAGCTTCTTGGGGAGGGGGGATGTGCAGCCTACATAATTAAACCCCCCAGAAAGTGCTTCAAGTGCTATGGGGTGGGATATAAACAGTGTGCTTTGCTTTTTTTTTTCCTTCCTTTTTTCTTGTAAGTCATCATCAACTTCTTGAGCTCAGACCAAAAATGTATTGGCAGCCAGTGGAAATCCTTCACAATGCAGGTCATGTGGGTTCTGAAAGATATTGCATGGAGTTGATATCTCATTAATTGGCAGCAATTCCATTCTGAGACTTCGCTAGTGTTCACAGAACTCTCCAACAGGAGTTATGCCAACCTGGACTTGAAAGAGTTGTCCAGTCTGTTTTGGCTTTCCCCACATTTGAATGTCTTTAATCACACTTTTCCCACTTTGGATGTGAAGAACAGGACAAATGTTTGTGAACTCTTCTTTTTTTAAAAAAAAAAAGTGTTCACCATCCCTACAGAGTTCCATTACCCAACCTGACTCCAAAACTGAGCTTCTTACATATGAGGCCCGGCAGGTTAGCAAACCCTGGGATCCAGACCTTATTTTCCCGTGCCCCAGCTCTTCGGATCAAGCCAATAACAGAAGGATCCAAACCACGTGTTCAGATCTTACCCCATCCCCACTCTGGTTGGCGGCACAATGTTCCTCATGAAAGATGTATCACCCACAAGCTCTGTTTGGGGTGAATTCTGCATTTTCTTGATGAAAGACTATAGTACGGCAACCACTTGCCGTGCCTGGAATTAAGAGAATGCCAGTGGGGACGTCTGTCAAAAGAAGGAAGAAGGAGAGAAGAAAGCTTGCCCGGGTTGGTGGTGGTGGGGAGATAGGCAGGGCAGGTAACCTGATTTCTTCTATGGGTTTATATTTCAGCACCCTGTGGAGGACAGTACACCGGCTCTGATGGGGTTGTCCTATCTCCAAACTACCCACAGAACTACACCAGCGGACAAGTGTGCCTGTACTTCATCGTTGTACCCAAAGACTATGGTATATACTCTGTATCCATGAACCCTGATCATTATGTAGGGGGAGGGGGGTAGTTCTGTGCAGCAGAATTATGCCAAGATGTGTGGTGCATGAGACAGAGATCCAAATGATGTCCCACATGGTGAAAAAAGATCTAATAATAAGCCAACATATTTTAGAAGTACCCTAGGATCTGTCCGTAGCTAAGCTGGAACAGGCGAGACTCCAACATCATGATGAGAAACCAATAGATTGCTTTCCCTTCAAGGTAGTAATTCCTTCAAAGCTCCATGCCCCAGCAATCAGATTTTCAAATGAAGCTTAATCCCAAAACAAGAGCAGCATGTGGAAATGTGGGTGATGAACATATTAAGGAAGTAACAAATGCTCACCATGTTCTTGTTCTCAGCAAAAAGGTGTGGCATCTCAATGCTCTAGTGGAAAAATATTGTTGACCAGTGTGATATGTCATTCCTGCATGAGAGTGAAACGATCAGAGGTGTGGGTTTGCATCACTGGTAATGTTGCAGTGTTGGGCAAAAAGGCAACCTTTATTTTACATAAAATAAAAGGTTTTCCGCAAAACCTGCTTGCATAACAATAATTATTATTATTTTGCAAACATGCGAAACAGAACAAAAATTTTAAAAATCCACAGAATCTCCACCTCGAGCATAAAACTGGTTTAGTCCTTATCTGCTCCAATTTCCTGTTGGATGCAAATCCCCTCTATCTTGACAAGGTGAACGCACATTCCAACCATGAAGAACCACTCAGTGATTTCCCTGGGAACTACCAGAGCATGGAAAAGTTACTTTTTAGATATTATATTTCTCCAGTTCTTCTATGTCACCATGCTGGCTGAGAGGAGAGGATTCTGAAAGTTGTAGTTTAAAAAAGTAACTTTTCCCAAGCCCAGGGCTTAGGAGGCAGGGGAGATGAGCTCCCTGCAAATATCTACACAACTGCTGATCTTGCAATGTCTGTGACTGTTGCCACCAGCATTACCATTGAAATGTGCTAGCAAGGGGCAACCTGGGAGCTTGAGGCTCTGATCAGCGGCGTTTACAAGCTGCAAATAACAAATCTTGCAAGCAAAAACAAGTGGCGACAAACAAGAATTTGAGCCTCGGGGCTTCAAGGCAGAAAGTGGCTGTTATGCTTTGGAGGGAAAAACATACATATACATAAATAACCCAAAACCTTGAGAAGCCAGCTATTTATTTATTCATTTATTTTTCTGCCGTAATGATCTCTCTGTTACTTCTTTTTCCATTTCCATTTAGGGAGGAAAGAGGGTGGGGATTCTGCTTGTCACCCGGGCATATTTACAATGAAAGCAATAACTTTAGGGAAGGAGGAGGGAAAAATAAAATGTCAAACACAGCTTCAGAGCTCAGTTCAAGCAAGCACTGCCTCTGTGCAAGCCACATTGAATTCCAGCAGGGTTTCTGACCTCCTCCTTTGGATTTTTAGTTGTAGGCGGAACACCTGTAGTTCTCTCCAGGCTGCCTTTTGGAGGTGGCCAATACTCATATTCTTGAATATCGCTTCTCTGGTGTGTTAGCTGCTGGCCAAATAGGGTTAGCAAGCTACTTTGAACAACATAGCTAATTAGTTACATGTATGGTGGGACGTGGTGGCTAAACCGCAGAAGCCTGTGCTGCAGGGTCAGAAGACCAGCAGTCGTAAGATCGAATCCACGTGACGGAGTGAGCGCCCGTCGCTTGTCCCAGCTCCCGCCAACCTAGCGGGTCGAAAGCATGTAAATGCAAGTAGATAAATAGGGACCACCTTGGTGGGAAGGTAAACAGCGTTCCGTGTCTAAGTCGCATTGGCCATGTGACCACGGAAGATTGTCTTCGGTCATAATGCTGGCTCTATGGCTTGGAATCGGGGATGAGCACCGCCCCCTAGATTTGAACACGACTGGACAAAAATTGTCAAGGGGAACCTTTACCTTTACCTTATTTTTTCAAGCATGTAGTTGTTGTTCTGGTAACATTTTTAATAGGAATTCTTTATACTCCTTGGCAACCTTTATGCTTCCACTTCTGAAGAATAACCAATATAGTTATTTCAAGTTATTTTCTAAACAGAGTGTCTGAATAGCTCAGCCCATTCTAAAGTGAGAAGGAATATAGTCCAGTGTCCATTACCCCCTGCAAAGTCCTACTGTTTTGCACATGGATCTTGAATTATATTTGAAGGAATTATGATAAATGTGTGTCTTTGCAACCTCATCTAATTATACCCTCCTTCTTTGATACGTGTCACTGACAGTGGTATTTGGTCAGTTCGCCTTCTTCCAGACAGCTCTCCATGACATCATTGAAGTGCATGATGGCCCCAACCAACACTCCCGTCTCCTCAGCTCCCTTTCCGGGTCTCACACTGGTAAGGATGCATCTCCCTTCTTACTCTGTTTCCAGAGATGTAAAGTTTTCCAGAGCTCAAGCATGACCAGATGCACATAGAATCTAGACCTCTAAAACAATGATTCCCAACCTTGGGTCCCCAGATGTTCTTGGACTAAAACTCCCAGAAGCCTTCACCACTGGCTGTGTCGCCCAGGATTTCTGGGAGTTCTAGTCCAACCACATCTGGGGACCCAAAGTTGGGAATCAGTGCTATAGAGGGAGTGTGTGAATATCTGGTAGGGCTTCCCATTCATTCCTTCTTGAATGTCACCTCCTTTCCCAGATGGGTGCCTGACAATTATGATGAGTGCACACGTGGCAGTCTTAGAATGTGTTGCACAACAACTTCTGGATCTCTTCTAGACTCATTCCCCCTTTTCTTTAGAAAGTACATTAAATATATGCATTTCTTAATTTTTGTGGTTTGCTCTCATGGGGTTGTTACCATTAGCTTTTCTCCCACCCTAGGTGAATCCTTGCCTCTGGCCACCACCAACCAAATATTGATCAAGTTCAGTGCAAAAGGTCAAGCCACTGCCAAAGGTTTCCATTTTGTCTATCAAGGTAGGTAGAAAGCCTAGTAGTTCATGATAGGCTAATTGAATTAGAAGCATGTGCTGTATCAATGGGGGAGTTGATAGATCATGGCTACTAGAAAGACTTGAAAAGATCCTGGCCTAACATTTCTGCATTAGTTTGCTATGAATTTACAATTAAACCCAGAGCTCCTTTGGGCTCAGCACTAGAAAACTGGTGCATTTACCTCAGTTTCTCTTGCTGTACCAGTTTCATCCCTCGCCCGGTGCTACACAGTCAAGTAGATATTCATCAAAATCTCTAGCAGCAAACTCTGCTGGTGAGTGTCAACCGTGATGTGGTCAATACAGAGCTAATAAGAAATCAGAGAGAGAGAGAGAGAGAAAATTCCTAGATATTCATGAAAACCTAAAAGGTACCCCCAAGAAGCCCAAACAAACAAAAAGCAACAAGAAAACCAAGTTTCCTTACTCATCTCTACTCTAAACAATCACAAAAGATTATGAATGCTAGCTTCGATTTCAAGCAGTGGTTCCCAACCTTGGGTCCCCAGATGTTCTTGGCCTAAAACTCATAGAAACCTTTATTATTAGCTGTGCTGGCCAGGATTTCTGGTAGTCCAAGAATATCTAGGGACCCAAGGTCGGGAACCACTGGTCTATAGCCACAGGATATTGTGGTGATGGAGAGAGTGATAGAACATGTTAGAAGACCGCATGGCCTCGGGAATGAAAGTATACTTGCTGCATGTCTTGTTTTCATTCATCCATCTTAACTAGACATGATTAGGAACCTTGATATGGACTTACAAAGCTCTTTGAGATTCCTCACAGTACCAAAGACTTGAACTCTGTACTTGGACTCAAAGACTTAACAACATCACTGGTCCAAACTAGCCATCAAGGTGGACTGAGATGAAAAAAAGAATGGGGCTTTATTTGTGCTTCGGGAAGTCAAATGCTGAGAGAGGGCTGTTTGTGTCGTTACACCTCTCCGAGAGGCAATCAGCCGTGATTGTGCAGCTGGGGTGGGGAGGGGGGGTTGCAATTAACACTTCAGAGGGAAAGAAGCAATCTTTATTTGACTTCATCAAAGTCTTTGATTCAGTTAAATCATTAACAATTGCTATCAAAATCCCCTCATAATTAGGGAGAGAATCGATGGAAAGGTTCTCTGATTAGGGGGAAAACACATCAGACAGAATCAGGGTCGAAGCCTTCCTGCGGCGGCTCAGACTTGCGAGGAAGCCAAAGCTCTCCAGGTTTCCCCAGGGGCCATCCGAAATTACAAAGCCCTCACGGTGAAGAAACATCTGATGGCTTTGTCTCCTTTCCCTACTGGGATAAATCATACACACCAGAATTGTCGTTAATTAGAGGCTGCCAATTAAGCCTTTGAAAAACACCGCAGGGATTTTTATTTTTCCTCCCTTAAAGAGTAAAATAATCAGGAGGATCTAAAAGCTGTGTTTTGACTGGTAAATGGGAGGTATCTACGCTGAAGGCCGGAAAGGCACTCTGCGTGGGCAAAGAGGCAAAATGGCTGTCCATCCCCTCCGTGGGTCCACTTGACGTGTCTGCTTAAGTTCAAAGACTGGAAGCCTTCCTGTACCACCGTTGTTGTGGGGAGGGCTGTGCAGCCATAGATGAAGCAATCAAGGAAGCCTGCCTTGCTTGGCCAGTGAACAGAGGACTATATAAAAGATGCAGGATACAGGACGAAGCTAAAGATCTAACAAACGACCAGCATGCCGTTCCTGCAAAGGCCATGCCAATGCCTAAGGGAGACGGATCTGTGGAATAGAAATGCAGCATCGTGCTCCATCTCCCATTCCCCCACAGCTAATGTACTTTAATGAGGTTACACCTTGGTTTCCCCCCCCTCCCCAAGTCTGGTTTGGAGCCAATCAGAGCATATCCCTGCTCCGTCCAGCGTCATTTGCACTCATTCAGTTGGGGCCTGGAAAAAAAGTCCATTGGTAAGGCTTCTGTCGGTTTTCATTGGGAAACCAAAATGGCTATAACTTTTTTTTTGCAGTGGGGTATGTGACAACCTGGAGACATGATAAAACCTGAAAAGGAGAGCAAAGCTGCCTAATATCAAACAGCCAAGTCCAGGGCTTTGTATATTGGCTAGCTAACATTTGCTTTATATTTTGGAAGAAGTTGTGAAAGATGAAAGGGAGCATAACCTCATGTACTTGACACTCTTTTGAACTGTCTCCTCTGCACTGGGTTTCCTACATGCAGGGAAATCTTGCACTAGCATCCGACAACTCAAATTTACCATACACGATTCTTGCATTACAATGTTGTTTGTCTGAGCCTGGTGCTCTGTTCTGTAACCATTTCCCCTATGATGTCTTCTGAAGCTGTTCCACGAACCAGTGCCACACAATGCAGCTCCGTCCCTGAACCCCGCTATGGGAGGCGGATAGGCAGTGATTTCTCCGTGGGGGCTGTCATCCGGTTTGAGTGCAGCGCTGGCTACGCCCTCCAAGGATCACGCAGCATTGAGTGCCTGACGATGCCTGGAGCCCTAGCTCAGTGGAATTCTTCTGTGCCTACCTGTGTTGGTATGTATTGATGGAGGTTGGTCTTGGTTGTCAATGGCTAAGCTTGAATCCAGCCATGTCAAGATACCTGCCAAATTGGGCGTTCAGTTAGAATGCCCAGTTCAGCAGGTATCTGATCTCTTAACACCAGTCAGGTCAGTCTGTCTCAACACAAAAGAGACTTTAACAAAAATGATTCCCAGCTTACAGTACAAGAATTAGGTAAGAGATATCTCTTTTTTTTCATTGGAGTCTCAGTAATTCATGCAAAATGAATCAGAGAAAAACCAGTGATTGTTTTAAAAAAAAAGATACAACTAATCCATCCAATGCTTCTACTCCTTAGAAGCCCAGGAAACAAAGGAGCAGGTATCATAACCTTGCATCACTTGTATTATTTGTGCAGAAATAATCCCTGAAAATGTCAGGCCTGTCATTCATGCTGACAAAAACCCTCATCTTTTTAAAATTACATTTGTATTAGTTATATAACAATGCACAACAATAAACACAGCAAAACAGAGCAAAACAAGTGGATGTTCAATCACAGAGGCATTAGACTTCCTTGATTCTAAAATTTTAACAGACCGTAAATTTGGTGACTTTAGAGGTATTAGACAGGAATGGGAAAAAGACTTCAGACAGAGAATAAAGAGTCATGTAGTCAACATTTATATTCTTGTAGGTGCAGATGAATAAGCGAAGTATGTGTTGGCATCCGCAATGAAAACACGCCTTTGTAGTTAAATTAGGGAGAGACAAGTTGGACTGCCTGATCAGAGCAGGAGGTCCACAGAAAGCTGCTGCTAATTGTATCAATGACCAAAACTGTGTGATCGGAAAGATACCCCAGATGCGAATGGTGGGATGGATATTTTGGGGCGGAAGGAGATAGCCATGATCCTCTGTGACAGTCTTGTGGCACCATGCCTATACCCCCTAGCTTAGAGGGCTACAGCCCACTTCATCAGGTTTATTTGAAGAGGCAAAGCTGCCGTCAATAAATGTGTCTGCCAATAAAGTCTTAAGGCACCTTGTACAACTGTAAAGGCTAGTCACGTAGCTCTGGTTTGGGGTACATTTATGGGATTGTTTAAATAACCGCGAAATCCACCTTCCTGAACATGCTGTGTATGTGAATGTTTGTGCAGATTTAGGTGTGTACATAAATAAAGCACAGAGCCACAGGTTTGCAGCCCCTGTGGTTGCAAAGATCGGTTTATAAATCTATCAACAATGTCTGTTGAACTCTCAGCAGACGGCAGGTGGGCTTAAAAATATATCCGGTCGTTTCATTGTCCTGTATGGTCCTTAGCCCTCCCCCAAGACCAGCAGAAACAGAGCAGCTTCAGGGGACAAAGGGACTGCTGAATCAATTATGCAGATGTAGAAAATGGCATAATGTAATCTGATTTACATGGTATTCCGTTTTTTGTTTTTTTTTAATATGGATGTTGTATTACTTGGCTGCAGGATTTTAATTTAATTCATGGTTTTGAGTGGATTTGTTTGCTTGGCTGACTTTTGGTCAAAGTGCAAACAGCTTTGGGAATAGGAAGTCCAAAATGGCAGAGTAATGATTTGCAGTTTTTAAACACGCAGACAAACAACACAAATATTAGCACTGGATTGAGACAGGGAAGAGGGTATGAAGTCCACAGCACAAACAGCATAATATTTTTTACGTAAAAGAGAAGAGAGTCAACTGTGGATCTTGACATAGGTTCATGGACATTCTTTCAGATATGTATCCTATTGAATAATCATTAGCTTCCAAGGGTAGACAGTGTCGTCTTACATACATGTGCGCACGGGGGGTGGGGGAGAACTGTCCATGTCCCTTATCCTTACTACGTAAATATCAATGGGATGTCCGAAAAGGCAATTTTTCCAACCTTCTGGGTAGCCTCCTGCTAGCAATAAGCCAAGAAGGGTATCTACCTTTTATTGCAACTCATCCGTCAGAGTCTGCTTGCCTCTTTCAGTGCCCTGCGGTGGGAATTTAACGGAGCGCAAAGGCACGATTTTATCCCCCGGATTCCCCGAGCCCTACTTGAACAGTCTCAACTGTGTGTGGAAAATAACCGTCCCTGAAGGAGCAGGGATTCAGGTAAAGCATTCAAAGAGTATCCTTTTCTCTCTTTTTTTTTTTTCCTTTCCTTTTCGTTAACCTTTGACCAGCTGAATTAATGGGTCTAGGCTGTAAAAACCTAGAAAGCTCAGTCCTGAATCTTGACAGGTCAGATCTCTGACCTGTATTAAAAATGTCAGTAGCATCTAGATTTTGGGAACTGTGGTTCTTTGTGGAGAAAGGCAGCATGTTAGCATCTGGCATCCAGGTCCTTCTGCTTCAGCCTGCTGGATAGTTGAGTGGCTTGCAGAGGCCAGAGGTTGAACTGCTCCGCAGTTCAAAAATGAAACATTTGTTTTCTCTGGCACATTCGGGTATCATGGGAGTTGTAGTTTTAAACAAAACGTAATTGTTTTCTGAACTCCATCTCGGACTAAATTAGTTGGAAGTAAGAAGTAGTTTAGCAAATTACTCTTACGAAGCATGACTTTAAGGAGGCACTGAAGCTCTTTCTGTTTCACAACTTTCCAACCTTCGGGTCACAGGATTCAAGGGTGTAAGGCTCACTACAACCCGGGCCCCGATGATGATGGGGGGCAACGTAGAATTGTCCAGCCCTAAAATGCTCACGAAACTCATTGCCAAAGCATGTTGTTGTTGTTGTTGTTGTGAGGACAAAGTAATAATAATAGTTGCTCTGTTGCTCTAGGCGGGCAAAAGTGAGAGGGAAACAATTAGCATTGTAAGTAAACCTTTTTGCAGCTCGCAGGCTGACAACCAGCGGATGTTCCTTTGGCGGTGACGTTAATTAACAGATCTGTTTTGTTTGAGGGTTTTTTTTTCTTTTGTTTTGTTTGTCTTTGAATGCAAAAATAAGGGCTAATTTTGCCCTAGATTTCTTGCAATTAATATGCATTATTATTGGTAACTCCCACAGGAAAACGGAAGTTTGTGTGTGTGTGTGTAAAGTGGGGGAGGGGAGAGAGAAAATGCTCACTTTAGCTGAACAAGATTGCTAAACTGTTGTGGTGCTGCTGAACGTTTCGCACTTGCGATTTCAAGGCGTAATTCATTCATTCAGTTAAGCGGTGGTGGGAAGAGAGAACCACAGGGAAAAAGAGAGAAAATCAGGCTATGATGAAGACATGTCTTCTTTGAGAGCATTCCCAGCTGCTGATGAGTCTGTGGCTGTTTTGTGGAGATGTGTGCTCAAGGAAGAGAGAGAGAAAGTAGCAAAGATGTGTAAAGAAAATGCGTTTTCATTCAAAAAATACGATCCTATTCTTCTGCCCTTCCTCCTCTTCATCCAATTAGTTCTTCAACTTTCTTCCAGAGAAACTGGCCTCCCATCAGAAGCTTATTGTTTTCTTTGTTTCCTCTCCTCTTTAACTCGCTTCCTCCGAGGATGGTGGCTCCGGTCTTCGTGGGGTGGTGGTCTGATCCAGGGTTTAAAGAACTATTTGAGGAGCTGAACCCTACCCCTCACCGAGGTTCGGCATTTACAATGCCTCCTTTAAAGTCCAGACTGAACCTGGAGGGTGGTTTTTACAGCCACACTGACTTCAGAGCCACCAAACTCCACAGCCTTACCCAACCTTTGTGACACCCCAGTGCCCGTGGCCGTTGTAGGAGGAAACGGCTCAGGAATCCATGGGGAGCCGAGCTGGGGAGGAGCAATAGATATTTGTGCACACGCAAACACCCAGTGGCATGCTCTCTCACACAAACATACAGGCAGTTGAACATTTGTGTAGACAGAAAGAAAGAAGCCTTCTGCTTTTGGTAAGGAGACAAAGAGAGAGGCAAGGCTGATGGGATTGTACTACGTAATGGACAGGCTGTTCCTTGGCCCTCAAATACAGGGGATGGTGCAGCTGTATCACAAGATGCCCCCCTGTTGTATCTGTGAAGGCTATCTGGATAATTCTTGGATTATTGACATTGGAACCCCCACCCTCCGCCACCCATGAGAGCAGCCAGCGAGCTCCAGGCTTGAAGGTCAGGTTGCTTTCTCTCCAAGATCTTGCTACTGTTTCTCAGTAGGTACTCCCTGAGGCAGCCGTCTCAACCTGCCAAAGGGTAGGACCGGCTCCAAGTCCTTTACATTGAAGGGATGCTCAGAAAATGCAGCTAAATCCTGGATTTGGGTCCAGGTCCAGCATTCAGCCCTACCTTTAGACATCGCTGAACTCCCGTTTCATAGCACAGGTAAAGGTTAAACAATGCCCCAGATGAGAGGAGATGATGGGAAGGAATGCATCCTTGGGAGCAGAATAGAGCCCAGCATCGGGCTGAGGAGGATTTTATGTAATCAGTGCCTTCGCTAGTGCTTCTAATATGAATTATTCATTCCAGAGGCCGTTCTTCCCTGGGTGAATTAATTTATATCCCTGGCAGTAAATACATGCTGATCCCTCCTGAAATCTCGCACATCGGCGGAGAATTAGAACCTGAGAATGTTTATATCTTTCCAGAAAGGGGGAGCAAGGGGGAAATGGAGCATGACTCTTACTTCTGTAATTCGGAAAATCATTACTGGGGGATAATTAGGCAGGGGCCAGAGCAATCGGTAAAGGCTTTGCATGGGGGTCATTAGCATTTTTGGCGAGACAGACTCTAAAGGCTTTGTCTTTTGTCATTTCCTCTTTTTTTTTCCTTTAAAGTTCCTGTGAAGTTGTTATTTAGGATAAACTGGGGAGGAAAACAAGTCAGAATGCCAGAGATAATGGTTTATGATCTGACACACACCTTTTGCTTCCGCTTCATTCGGCGGAGGAGGAGAAATGTTGCACTGCTATAGAATGTTATCCAAATATCTCCAGTTTCTAAGATCCGGTGATGCTAACCAAGGGCCTGTCTGTACAGCCATCAGAATTAAACGGACTTCCTATGCCTTGGTAGGTAGAGGGATGTGTGTCAAACCAACCCCTGACCAAAAAGCAGAAGTTAGAAAATGGATTTTGCATTTTAAAAGTTTCTACTCTCTTTTTCTTTTGAGAAAAGGCACACATACATACACAGACACAGGTAGCAACCACAGACGTTCTGGCTGTTTGTTAAAGAAGATGAGAAGAATCCATCCAGTGCTTCAGATGTTAAAGCAGCTGTCATTCTAAGTGCACAATTCAATTGAATTGTATTAGTTTTGCCCCCAGAAATAGGCTATGTTCACACAAAAGGAGACATTTTGTGGCCAAAAATAATGGCAATTTTGTGCCAAACATCTTTCTCACCAATGTCAGAACTCAGTCACGAGTGGCCAAAAAAGTTAACCACATCCTTGAAGGAGATGTTTGCAGTTCTTCATGCTCACATGTAAGGACAGAACAATCAATGGCATGCATCCCAACTCTGTAATACATAACAGATTCCTGAATGGATTGATAGACACGGATTCTTCCAAAATGGAATATAAAAAACAACGTGGGAACGTTCCCTGAGGGCAGAGTGTTTGTCTCTCTGGTTTTAAATATTCTGGATACACTGCAAGTGGGTGACGTTTTTTGTATTGTTGTTGATTTCTATTCATTTTGTCTTTTTCTTGCCTCCTTTCTCAGATTCAAGTGATCAGTTTTGTCACAGAGCAGAACTGGGATTCACTAGAAGTATTTGATGGTGGGGATAACACAGCCACCATGCTGGGCAGCTTCTCAGGTGAATGTTGGGGCCGGTGTGGAAAGAGGTAGAGGTTTGTGCTTATGGCAGACGGAGGACAGAAGGCCTCAGCATTTGGCGGTGGGAGAAAGGGGTGCAAGAATCTAAGGGTCAAAGTAGATGGAATGGTGTAAGCATTTTTTAAAAGGGCTTTGTGGTGTGGTACAAGGTGTTCACCATCATGTGTTATATCTTTCACCTCTGTATCTTGCATTTAGTCTGCTTTGTTTTGTGATTGGCCAATGGAAGGTAAACACAGACTCAATTTGCAAGTCTGAATCTTGAAGCATATTTCTCTTAGGAGTTTCCGTTACACAAGAGAAAACAGGTGACTCAGAGGCAGCAAACATCCTTTTTAAAACCCCTTGGACCCTCAAATAGGCTCAGCTGATCTCTTTGGGGCCAGGAAGAAACTGAGTTAGGGTCTCATTTCTCCTCTCGTTAGCATCTACCCAGTTAAACTGGAGAAAGCAATGAAGAAATGGTTTTGTATGGAAGAAAAAAGGTTGAGTTGATCCATCATCATTCCCAGCATCTTATCATATCTAAATATGAACTGGAATACTTCTTGCTAGCAAAATCTTCAGATATTCAAAACTTTCAGTGTCGTTTGAGAAAAATAAAATGTTCAAGGAAAAGATGTATAAGTAAAAAAAACGTGGGCAGGCAAAAATTGTTTATTTATTAGAATGCCATTTTAAAATGCATGTTTGCCCCAAAAAACCCCAAAATGTACATAAAATGTACACAATTAACCAGGATTACAATTTATTTATATATTTTAAGTCCATAAAACCCTACAGATTTTCATGAAGACCAAATAAAAATCACACTCCACTACGGAAATGAGACAGAATGAACTTAAAAGAGCAACGTTGAGCTGTCTGATTCATTTATTTCACTTCTCTGTGTCTCTCCCTCCCTCTTCTCGCTCTCTGTGAGCGGACAGGTGAGAGGAGGATGAGAGAGAGAGAGAGAGAGAGAGAGTGCACAGATACTATATGGCTAGGAAGAAAACAGTCCTTAGAAGTACCTGCAACATTGATCTGGCAGTAGGTTTATTCTAAATGTAGAACTGTGGGATTGCAACATGGGATAAAAGGTTGAACTGGTGAAAACAATTTTTGGCTAGCCAGTGGGGAAACTGTAAGCTGCATCACAGAGGAGGGGAATTGGAGAAAGACACTTGCCTCTTTTTTGAGGTGAAGGTGTCTTTTCAAAGTTCAGTATCTTTCAGGAAAGCTCTGTGGGCCATCTTTTCAAGGAAGCGTGTGCCCTCACTGAGCCTCCTTTCCCCCTGCTGAACCGTGCAGGCCAGGGGAAGGGCTGCCTGTTCAGACATGCAGGTACAGCTCTCCAAGGTCATGCAGGCAAGATGGGGAGGAGGGGCAAGGTAGGAGCGGACAGACCACCCTCAAATCCCTTCTGGCTTAGAACACCACTAATAGGGGTTCAAAGTACTGAAGACATTTAACCAGTCTCCTGAGTCCAACATCCTACCTGCTATATCCGGCTTTCATATACAATTTATTGGTTTTTGACCAAGGGGTGGTCCAGAGACATTAGAACACCCCCTAGTCAAAACACATGATCAACGAATGGTGACACCGTAATGGAGCATGAACCCTTCGGGCAAAGACGAGCAGTAAGAACGAAGCCCTCCTTCGCCACTCCCCTCTGTGTCTTCTCTGAGCTTAACAGCAACCGTCGCAATATTGGGTGACAAACTGATTTCCCCAGGAACAGTATGTTATAGCCAGCCATCTTTACTGCAATGCAAAATATGGAAGGGTCCTTTAGTCTTGAATGGGTGATTAAAAGCCCTTAGCTTTACAAAATACCTTCTCGTCACCTGTTGTCCTAGATTGATCCAGTGCCTACAGTTTTGGACTCTCCCGGGACAGTCTTGTTTGCAGGGACTCTTATGAGTGGGCTTCCAATTTTCTTTCCCATGCCTTACGTGAAGAGTAGTCAGTCCAAGTTTCCAAAACTCAACCCCTGGAGCTTGCCTCCTCTTGCGCAACTGGCAACTCTGCAGCTGTCCAGTGCCAGGCAGGAGACAGGTTGAGCCCCCTTTCCTTGTCTTGCATTTTAGTGACGGGAGACAGCCAGGGGGAACGGACACCCTCCTTCATATAATCTGCCCTGCATCTGCCCAGCATTACAAAAAGCTGCGCTCTGGTCACATCTCTGCCTCTGATGCGCGCGTGTCTGTTTTCCCCTTTAGGAACCACAGTGCCTGCATTATTGAATAGCACCTCCAACCAGCTGTATTTGCATTTCTCCTCCGACATCAGTGTTTCTGCTGCGGGATTTCACTTGGAGTATAAAAGTAAGAATACTTCCCTGCAGTTTTATTCTTGTTCCACCAGGGTTGGGCGCACAGTTGCCGGAAGTCATCAGCCCAGTCTAGATAAAGGTATAACTTGGCAACTCTCCCGAGGTTCACAACAATAAAACCTCTCCAAGCTTCGAACTCTCATGGCTGCAGCAGAGGGATTAGGGACGTTGAAGGCCATGGCTGGTGAATGCCCCCCCTCGGGGATCCTTGCTCCTTTCAACCTCACCAGCATGATTGGGGGGGGGGAATTGCCCCCACCAGACACCTTCTCATGTGATCCACTCAGCAACTTTGATGACAGAGGCGTATCTGATACAAACTGTGTAAAGTCAGTATTTTATGGTACAGTTGCCGGATGCCTTATTGTTCTGATTTTAAATCCTCAGAAGCCCTGGGTGAGTTGTTTGCATCTTTTTTAACAATCCTTTTAACTATTCGTGCCAACGGCAGAAAATCTGCATACAACGTGGAGAAATTTTGATGATGAAAAGAAGCCTTCCTTCTCTTTCTCTCTGGAGGAATCTCATTTCTCCCCCAACATCTGACACACGTCAGAGAGTCTTAACCAGGATGGACGTACAAGCAGCCCATGCATGGCATATTTGCGCAATCCTTCCCTCAAATCCTCCACAATATAAATTTAATAGAAAAAAAAATCCAGCAAGAAAACCTGCATCATGATCCACTGCCCCAAAAAATGGTTGCACAGCCTTACAGCCATTCTTCCTACTTGTCCGTAGGTGCATTGTGCTTAATCTGCATTGACTGAACTTTTTTAGCAAAGGAAATTGGCATCTTTTCCTTGGAGTCAGACAGCCAAACCTCTTGGGATCGCCCTGTACCCATTCACCTCTTCCTCCTTCCTTGCAGCCGTGGGCCTCTCCAGCTGCCCGGAGCCTGCTGTGCCCAGTAACGGCCTGAAGCTTGGGGAGAGATACCTGGTGAATGATGTGGTCTCCTTTCAGTGTGAACCAGGCTACGCGCTCCAGGTATGCAGCATCACAGAGTCTGTGCCATGTGTCTGAATTATTCTTAAGCATAGAGTTCTGGTGGGAAAGCACAGACCCACGGGTATACATATGCAGAGGTGGTATGGCTCCATACATCAGCCACTGGAGGGCACAAGGCTTCAGTTACAACTCTTCTCCTGCAGGTGAGCCTGCTGTAGGCATCTTATTGCCCATAGGAGACTTAACTAGATCCAGTAGGACCACCAATGCAATCTCCCTGTGGGGGATTGGTTCCAGGTCCCCCAGTGAGATCTGAAAAATGTGGAAGTATCAAACGCTATCCATTGGGTGGTATCTGGCTCCCTTTAGTGGCCAGTTCTGGTAATCATACCCTGGAAATACATTGTATATATTTCAAGGGTGGTGTTATTTAATATTTTAGGGCTGCAGATCAGTGAATCCGTGGATACTGATCACGTGGATAGGGAAAGCCTAACTGCATATATTTATTTATTGAGATCCAACATGGATTTTCTTGTGCCTTTAGAAGAGCTGCTCCCAATGGGATGATAAAGCTAATGCAGAGGAGCGGGGTGGGATGTGGAATATACAAGCATTTAAGGCATGTAAGCAATAGGGCAGAGGAATGCAACATGTGGCCCTCAGCACCCCCAAGGATTCACGCATCCTGTTTTTAAATGGGGAAAATTAGCTCAGGAAACTCCCTCGTGCTCCTAGAGGGTGTTTGGGGCAGTTTTGCTATGTTTTTCATCCTCAAATTATATTTAAAAAAGAAATTAGCAACTAGAGGGTGTTTTTCAGTTTAACGTTACCACCAGCAATTTTTGTAAGAAATTTTTTGGGGAGAGGACCTCCACAATCTGCCAGATTTTACAGGTCTACATGTAGCTGATTTCAGAGGAAATAAAGGATGAGACATCGTTCATCAATTAATTTCTTTGTGTTCATTTTTCTTACCTCTCTTTCATTTCCTTGATGGAGATGGTAAACATCGTGTCCTGTAGGAAGGACTTCTGTTTCTGCCCATTAGGTCTGTTTCCTGGTTCCTACCCTGGTTCTTTTTAGGCTCCCTGATTCTTCCCTGGCTTCCATCTTCTAACGACAAGCCTTTCTTTCCTTCAGGGACGTTCTCATATTTCCTGCATGCCAGGGACTGTTCGGCGCTGGAACTATCCTCCACCACTTTGCATAGGTAAGAGTGGTAATTTGTCCTCTCCCCCCCCCCCACAGTTTGTTTTTCTTTTCCCTTTCCCTTTCTTGCTAAAGAAGCTGTACTGGAGACTTAACTTTGTTTGTGTGTGTCACGCTTAGAAAGGCAGACATGATCAAGCTTTGGTGAGACATTAAGGCGTCTTTGCGACACCGACTTGCTTCCCCCTCCTTTTATCCAGATGTTATCCTGCTTAAATAATTGAGGAGGAGTTCTGTTTAAGTAGACATCAAGAGGGTGGGGAGGGTGAGAAAGCAGACCAGTCAGCAGAAAAGATGCATATAATGAGTCACTAAATGGAAGAAAATCTGGGCTGCCAAGTGTCAGCGTGGATTAAAAGCACAAGCCTCTTCTATTTTAGAGTGGAGAAGTATGGGTTTGCAAGGCTTCACTGAAAACAGTTGCAAGTGGACAACTTAAGATGGTCATCACCATCATCTTGGAACTGCAGAGCTGGAAGGGTCTCTGTGGGTCACTGAATCCAGTCCCTGTCAAAGAGGCACAACAGGGAATCGAACTCCCAACTTCTGGCTCCACAGCCAGATGCCAAAGCCACTCAGTTCCCAGAAGGGCAAAAACAAAACAAAACTTTAAAAAGAAGGCAAAAACATTGTGGCATCTTAAAGACTAACAGCTATATTTTCATGTGAGCTTTTGTGGACATCACAGCCTCTCCCAATTTGAAGAGACCCTTGTCCAGCAGGCCGAGGCAAAGAGGCCGTCCCGGAAGCAGCAAAAGCAAGGAGCTGGACAGGGGACAGACTGGATTTGTCTTCAGTGTGGAAGGGATGATCACTCTCAAATTGGCCTTCTCAGCCACACTAGACGCTGTTCCAAGACCTCCATACAGAGCACGTTCCCATCGTCTCTTGAGACTGAAGTATGCCTAATCCTAATCTTGTGGACAAGTCTGCTTCTTCAGACACAAGAATGGGACTACATGACAAATACTTTTTACAGTTCAAACATGGCCCCCAAACAAAACGACTTCATGTTTCCTGGGCACAAGTAGTTGATGATGTGGCATTTCACATCTGGCAACGACCATTAGGACCCCCATTGATCCTCATTTCCCCTTCCAGGTAGCATTGTTCGGTAAACAGCGGCAATGATTGGTATCTGAATTAATCCCAAACTGTAGATAACAAAGAGGAACAACTAGATAATGGGTATCATAACCTCCGAATTTAGAAAGTAACTCTTGCAAGCTCTGGTGAAAAGCTGTAGAGGAAGTACACGGACCCTCCATTTAGGAATAGGAGATAGAAGTGTAGGAAGTTCACATTTTGAGGACTCTGGGGTAGACTCCGTGGAGGAGGTCACTGGAGGAGAATGAGTCGCAAACTCAGTTTTTGACCATATTTATGGAGGGGACGAGTTGTGTGGGAGAGTCAGATTGTCCAGATTTTTCTCCAGGAGAGAGAAGTACTTGGATAGAGGTTGGAAAAGACATATCTCCTCTGAGGAGCTTAGTTTCTGTTAATACAGAATGAAACCCTAGGGCTGGCCCACCCAGGACTTTTCCAGCCTTCCTTTCCCACATCTGATCTGGGCCAGATTTCAGAACCAGAAAGGTCGGTTCTTGTTTTGTACCAGTCACTTCCTGTTTGGGGAGAAAAATCCCTACAAGCTTAAACCAAGAGAGAGAAATGGCTCACAGTAGCCAGTCACATGTGCCACAGGGTGCTATCGGACATTTGCCCTTCCTAACATTTTTTTAAATGATTAGGGTAGTTTCCTGGGGTGCAAGGAGTGATCGGGAGGTGAACACAGCCCTCTGAGTCTCCACGAGGAAGGAGGCAGCCCCAGGGCCTTTGGAAGTAGCTTGTTTTACTCTGACTGGCAGCTGCTCCCCAACAACTCAGGTGGGAAAAGAAAAATGCCATCACTTGCAATGCAAGTGATGGCATTTTCATAAAACTGGAGGTGCCATGGATCGAACATGGGACATCCTGCAAAGCATGCACAGTGCCACTGAATTTTAGCCCCTCTTTTGTCCTGTCTCGGGAAGGACAGGAAACAAGGTGACATGAAGGGCTCCCTTTATTCATTGACTATCTTGGGTTCTTTCTCTCATAACAGCTCAGTGTGGTGGGACCTTAGAAGAGATGGAAGGGGTCATTCTGAGCCCCGGCTTCCCAGGGAACTACCCCAGCAACAGTGACTGTACATGGAGGATATTCTTTCCCGTGGGGTTTGGTAAGAAAGCACAATCGGTTGTTCCAATGTATCTAAAGACATCCTGTATTTTCGATGAAGATACCTGTTTACAGGTCCTGCAGCTGATTTGACTCATGAAGTACCATGAAGGGGGTGCCTTCATTGACAAATAATTGTTTTCCACCGACTGCACAACAAAAATCAGCCCCCCATCTGTGTTTCTCCTCCACCATGGAGGTGGGGGAGGGTGGAGCCCAGACTGATTTTTTTCCCAACTGAAATGAATTTGCATTGGTTCAGGCAGGGTGATCGCTTGTGCCAATGCAGCTAAATGGATGACTACAACCTAGCTCTCCCTAGTTTCCTAGTTTAAAGTGGGAAAGAGGAAGTAAGGAAGCACTTATGAGGTTGTTAGGTGCCTCCAACTGAACACCTTTGGTCTCAAAACCATTCATTCATTCATTCATTCATTCATTCATTCATTCATCCATCCATCCATCCAATCATTCACTCATTCATTTAAAGTCTTGGTGCAACTGCTGGTGTACTAGGGCACTTACAAGATCAAAAAGAGAGAGGGGAGGAAACCGGCATTCAGCCTTTACAAGACCAGCTGGTGGTGCACACTCATATTTGTGAGGAAGAGGGGAGGAAATTGCTAACCAGCACTTATTTGCATCTTGTTAAGGTAGCTCTGCTATAGCCATGCCTCCTGCAAATTTGGATTGCCACAGCAGAGCTACCGTAACAAGTCTAATTGCCAATTTCCTCTTTTTTTCTCTTTTCTGACTCTTGTGTGGACGGCTAAAGCAAATTCAACCTGGGAAGCCCAAGGTTTGAGTTCATAACAATCCATTCACATATTCCTGTTATGTAGTCACACCCTCAGATTGCACCTACACCTCTTGAAATGGGTCCCCAAGTGGTAAAGTAGATTGTGTCACTTCTTGTGAAGTGGAAAAGTGACTTTTTGGATTACAATTCTCAGAAACTCCCAACTAGGATGCTGTGGAATTCTCAGAATTTAGTGGGAAGAAAAACTAGAATTTCCAAGGTTTTACTGGTTCAGACACCAGTGTTGCTTGGAAGTATTTCTGAATGTCCACTTCCTTCCCACTGATGCTGTCTTTGGTTGAGGAGCTCTTTTCAGAGCTAAGATGAATAAATATAAATTATGCTATTTGATGGCCTCATGACTGGCTCATATTGTGAGTTTCAGCAGCTCATAATATCTGTTTTTATTGCAGACCGATACCCCCCTGCATATAAAAACTCATAACTGTTTGCAGTCAGTTATAATGGTCTATGTTTTAATTGATTTTCTCCTGCACAGTTATCAGCCAGTAGCTGCCCCAGACACTTTGCTGATAAATTCATGTCTTTAACACCTTAATCTAACTTTCCCCAATAGGGTCCCCACCAGATACATTGCATCATCCACGTTCAATAGGGATGATGGAAATTGTAGTCCAACATACCTAGAAGGTGCTAGGATGGGGAAGAGCACCTTAATTATCCTCAGAAATTATCATTATTTCCTAAGATCTTAAAATGATCCAGTTGATTTACACTGAAATTTACAAATCTGTCTTTTTTGGTTTGCTTAATGACGTGTATTTCGCCCAACACCGTTGCCTGCAGTGGGGAATAAAGCAGGGTATACATGGCTTATCTGTGTTTTTAAAAAAGGAGATACTGCTAAAAATACAATGTTATAATTTTCAAACTCAAGTCAATATATCGTCATGTTAGAATAATTAAAACATCTTAAGCAATGTAAAAGGATGTTATTTAAAAGGTGTTTAAGAAATTGAAATGAAGCCAAGGGGGGGGGAGGGAAATCACAAACTCAGAGAATCTATTTGTTGTTGTTGGCCATGCCATCTGTCAATGTGGAAACTGTAGGAGAAAAAGTTATTAATGCAACTTCTCAGTTTGATTTAGGGATCACTCTCCTCTTGTTAATCACCTTTCTGTTTTCCATTCTGGATCATGTTGGTGCATTTCCTCTGCCTGCAGGTGCTCACATCCAGTTCCTGAACTTCTCCACCGAGCCCAACCACGATTTTGTGGAAATCCGCAACGGGCCCTACGATACCAGCAACATCATCAGCCGCTTCAGTGGGTCCGACATTCCGGGTTCCCTTCTGTCCACATCTCATGAAACCACGATCTACTTCCACAGCGATCACTCCCAGAACAAGCCTGGCTTTAAGGTGGAATATCAAGGTAAAGAAAGAGCAGGAATCTGGGTGTGTGGAGCCCCCAGCGAGACCATCATGCTGCCTCTGGGACCTTGTGGGAAGAGTGCTGAAAGCGAGAGACACTTCTCTCCTTTTGAAGCAACACCTTGAGCGTTTAATCCAAATAGCTGTGAAGGGTTTACCCAAGAACCTTGCTTAATCTTAAGAGCCAGGGACCATTCACTGTGCCGGTGCAGACAACTTAATTCACAAAGTGCATTCCTAGAGGGCCTACATGCTCAACCTGACCTGAATTTCTTAGGCACTTTAAGCTCTCCATCTCATTGCGTCTGAGGAATTCCTTGGCTGGAAAGGTATTTTGTTATGCATTTGCCTTCACCCCCCACCCCACTCCCCAGCTATTCTCCTTCTGCTTATCAGTGAAAGCAGCAAAAGCTTGGGCATCTCTCTGCAAGTTATTAGGACTGTGGTTTGTTTATACCTGTTGGTATAACCATTGACTTGGTGGGCACCAAATGGAGTAACCAAAGATGGGGAGGGGGGGAAGCAAACTAGACTGATCTAAACGTTGAAGGTGAGGAGGGGAAGAAAGGAAGGGAGGGACTGATGAGGCAAAAGCCAGGCAAACATGAGCCAATGGATTTATACTTCCAAAGGCAACAGCAGGGAATCCCTTTCAGGCTGAGAACAAAATTCAATTTCAGAGACATTTTGCAGGCTGAATGCCACCGGTGGTGGGCAATGCCAAGGGCAGAATTTAAAAACAAATTAAGCAGTATCTTTTATCTTAAGACTTTTAGTGCCTCTAACTCAGCATAAAAGAAAGGCATGTCAGCTTCTTTGAATAGGGAAAAATACTGTGTAAAAGCTGGGACACCACCAAAGGGACGTGACATGAGAAGGATCATAGAATCACGGAGTTGGAAGGGGCTCCTAAGGTCATCGAGCTCAATCCAATGCAAGAAGCCAAATCAAAGCAGGTCTGATAGATGGTGGTCCATTTTTCTCTTGAATGCCTCCAGTATTGGAACGCTCACCACCTCCCGAAGGAGTTGGCCCCATTGGAGGAGGTGATGCCCTGGGAAAAAGCAGAGGGCTCTATTAGAACCCCTGTTAGGACCCACATTTGACCACACAGGCAGAGGTTTTTTTGTCCTCTGGCTCAGCTTTGGTGAAGGGGTGCAACCGTGGGCATCCACAAAGGGGTGGGGGCATTCAATCCTAAACTCAGTGTTCCTTTAAATGCATGCAGGATTGACCCCCTAAAGGAAACCACAGGCTTCAGTTTACAAGAGCTGAGAGGGATTGTTGAGAAGTTGACATTTCGGAGATGTCTCATTCATAGGGTTGTTGTAAGTTGGAGGGGACTTGACAGCACATAAGAGCAATGACAAAAAAAACTACAGTCAGATGAGCAATCTATAGGTAATCATTGCCCCAGCATTACCTGTACTTTTGGGTCAGGCTGATGATCAATCATATGGCCCTGGAAGGGTGTCCCAGAGACTTGACTTGACTTGACTTGACTTGACTTGACTTGACTTGACTTGACTTGGCTTGACTTGACTTACTTACTTACTTACATTTTTGCCTTTTCCTTCTCCTTCTCCTCAAGAGGTTGTTACTTACTTACTTACTTACAAATATTTTTGCCCTTTCCTTCTCCTCAAGAGGTTGCGAGGCAGCTTACAATATTAAAACAAACAGTATACAACGCTAGAAAATAATACGTTGTTCCAGTATTTAAAAACAATTAAACAAATAAAAGATTAAAACTAGTAGGAAAAAAAGTTCTACAAACACATTTTTAAAAATAACAAAAATAGAACAGTCCCATTTTGGGGACACAATTCTTCATTTTGAGTTTGACATTCTCAGTGAAGCAGGGCTCGGAGGAACGCTGAGGGCCTCACTGAAGTCCTTCCTGAGATGCGACCGTGCCCGTGGTCCGGACAGAATCCCAGACTGGCATAGATATTCTGCAAGGTAGTTCCAGGCAGACAGAAGGGCTCTTGTTTGTCCTTTTTCTAAACACAATGTTTTTCTGCACAGCCTCACAAACATACCACAGCAGTTGTCAAATATTTATTTACTAGTTTATTGTACGAATCACTGCATAGCCAAATCTGTCAGACAACAATCCTGTCTGGCAACATGTATGATTACTAAATAAAACACCACAAAATCAATACAATCTCATTAAAATGCAATCAAAATGAAAAGCAGCAAAAATATTGTTTGTGACAATGAAAGTGAAAAACATCCATGGGAACAAATACTGAAAGGTCCAAAATGATAGCCAAAGGAGATAAAATAGCTTTCAAGTGTGACTCGGAAGGAAAATATAAGACATTGCGAAGTGTAAGGTACTACAAAGGCATCTTTTTTTTATTCCAGAGCCAGCCTAAGAAGGAGGAGCAGAAAGGGTTACCCCCCCCCCCCACTCAGTCAACATAAAGGTATACCCAAGCCTATTTGCCACCCAAGGAAGATAATTCTCCCAAGGCTTCACCCTGTCTTTGACAATTAAAAAATAGAATAATAAATCAGTAACAATTTACTTGCCCCCCCCCAATGGAGCTGGAGGAACGCTGAGGGCCTCACTGAAGTCCTTCCTGAGATGCGACTGTGCCCGTGGTCTGGACAGAATCCAAGAGTGAAATAGATATTCTGCAAGGTAGTTCCAGGCAGACAGAAGGGCTCTTGTTTGTCCTTTTTCTAAACACAATGTTTTTCTGCACAGCCTCACAAACATACCACAGCAGTTGTCAAATATTTATTTACTAGTTTATTGTACGAATCACTGCATAGCCAAATCTGTCAGACAACAATCCTGTCTGGCAACATGTATGATTACTAAATAAAACACCACAAAATCAATACAATCTCATTAAAATGCAATCAAAATGAAAAGCAGCAAAAATATTGTTTGTGACAATGAAAGTGAAAAACATCCATGGGAACAAATACTGAAAGGTCCAAAATGATAGCCAAAGGAGATAAAATAGCTTTCAAGTGTGACTCGGAAGGAAAATATAAGACATTGCGAAGTGTAAGGTACTACAAAGGCATCTTTCTTTGATGCCAGAGCCAGCCTAAGAAGGAGGAGCAGAAAGGGTTACCCCCCCGCTCAGTCAACATGAAGGTATACCCAAGCCCATTTGCCACCCAAGGAAGATAATTTTCCCAAGGCCTCACCCTGTCTTTGGCAATTAAAAAATTGAATAATAAATCAGTAACAATTTACTTGGGTCCCCCCCCCCATGGAGCTATGTAATTTGTTGATGCTTAGGACAACTGTCTCCCCATGCCTGATGGTAGGGCCAGACCCTGATGGGTTCTGAAAAACCAACGAAGTAGGTGCCAGCTAGACCTCTCTGGGGAGGGCAGTCCACACCTGAACACTTATCATTGGAAAGGCCAGAGAAGAAGAAAGATACTCTTTTAGGGCTACAACTCCCAGAATACGGTGACCCTGCTTTTTAGAGGAGGGGTCCCCACTCTTGGCCAAGCCAAGTGTCCTTGGACTGCAACTCTCAGGCAGCACAGCTGGTGGTAAAAGCTTCTGGGAATTGCAGTCCAAGAACATCTAGAGGCCCAGGGTTGGAAACCACTGGTTTAGAGCACTATGGGAAATGTAGTCCAAAAAAAAAACTATTCCCATCAATGGAAAATACCTGTTCACAACTCCAAACTCTGGATCCTGGCTTAGATACCAGAGTTTGTTGCTGACCCATGCAGATTTGTTGAAATCCTGTTGCGCAATTTTACACTGTATAAGTGTAATGAAGTGAGACAATGAAATCAGCCAGGGTGATTTTTCAGAAATAAAACATTTCCAATTCTCTCATGAAGGTCCCCAAGCTCTTGTGGGATCCCTTTTTGTCATGAGAAAGTTATCGGGGGCGGGGGGGGGAACAGATGAGTCTAATTTCCAACAATCACTGTCACTGGAGGAGGTGGGGCTCATCCTGTCAACATCCTTCAGGTGGCAATTTTTGGAAATTCAAGACTTCCCTGTTTCACGACCCCCAGTGGCTTCCCCCTTATCAAAGGAATTTCAGTGCAGCCTCAGGACCTTTAGAGAGGGTAGAGGGGAGTGAAAATTTTGGAATTCTGAAAAAAAATGATGTTGTCAGCCTTATGCAGCATAAGTTAAAGCAACAGGATTTCAGCCACTAAGTTTGGTCCAGCCCTAGTAGCAGGATACACCCAACCTTGGGTGTATTCCAGCTTGTCCATAGGAGAAAACAGGAAGCTGCTTTACATGAATCAGACATTAGATCTGCCTAGCCCAGCACTGAGCAGCAGCAACGATCCAGAGAGTCAGCAGTTCTCCAGGGATTTAGGGATTCTTTCTCAGCCAGAGACTGAATCTGTGACTTTAAGCATGGAAAGCTTGCAATCTGGTATTTAGGTCAGAAAGGCTTGGGTGTCAGGGAACATGGGCATCTTCTGCCAGATATGACTGTTATTACATCCTGCTTCAACACTGCATCCTCTCACTCTGATCTGCAAGATTTCAGACCTTTCCCACTACCTGCTCCAAGGATGGATGATGGAACTTTAGAATCTTTTTACAGGAAAAACTTCGTGATCCAACATGGAGCTCTGTGGCTTTGCCCCCCAGGAGAATCATGCGAAGACCTTCTTAAGAAATGGTTAACTTTAACCTGACCGGTATTTCCTTCCTTTGATTTTCCAGCCTATGAGCTCCAGGAATGCCCAGACCCTGAGCCCTTTGCCAATGGGATTGTGAGAGGAGCCGGTTATAGTGTGGGCCAGTCCATCTCCTTTGAGTGCCTGCCTGGCTATCAGCTGATTGGTCACCCCGTCTTGACCTGTCAACATGGAACCAATAGGAACTGGGACCACCCCTTGCCCAGGTGTGAAGGTATGGCTTTATGGAGTAACTTCTAAGAAGAAGGCAAGGAAGGAAAGGAAGGAAAGGAAGGAAGACAGACAGACAGACAGACAGACAGATAGATAGATAGATAGATAGATAGATAGATAGATAGATAGATAGATAGATAGATAGATAGATAGATAGATAGATAGATAGATAGATAGATAGATAGATCTACTATTACTTCCAAACCTATTTGACAACATTTTATCCTAATAAGCCTCACATCTGGGGCTAGCTCATGATTCAAGCACAGGGACTAAGCTAAACTTTCAGTTTGAAGGATTCCCGCATGTGGATCATGAGCCACTTATGCTCTTATCCTTTAGTCGCATTAAATCTATGGCTAAATTCAATGGAATTAAAAATACACACGTAGGGGCAATCACACAAGTAGTTTCCTTGCTCACCAGGCTTCTGGTCACCGGATCAATTGCCTTATAATAGGAAGACTGTAACAAACAGCTGGGGGAACTATTTGCATCGCTTGCTCAATTGTCCTTACACTGTTGCATCAGCAACTAAGATTCAGGCTTGTTATTTGTTTGCTTAATATCCTGCCTTCTCTCATCATGGGATCCATAACTCTGATTAATTTACTAGGCTCCTCGTATTAGGATTTCGGTTGGTCATGCTCCAGTTGCACACATAACACCCCTGCTGCTGCTGCTGCTACCAAATTTCTGATGACAGTGCTTTGTTCTTAGGGGTATCTCCCATCCTCTGTCACATTCTGATTTCTCCCTCAGAAGCCTTTTTCTCCAACTGAGTGTCTACCAGATATGTTGGAATCAGAGATGGGCACGAACCGCCGGTCCAACAGGTGCTCTCAGGCAGCACCTGGAGGAGGCAGGGCAGGCAAGCTGGGCCTCTGCTTCTAATTGGGCACCCACTGGAGGACGTGGGGCTGAGAACTATGGAACACTTGTTAGACTGACAGATGAACCCTCGGCACCTGCTGGAGGAGGTGGGGCTGAGAACCATGGAACACTTGTTGGACTGACAGATGAACCCTCACGAACTGCCGAACTGGCGGTTCGTGCCCACCTCTAGTTGGAATGCACTTATAATCACCCCAACAAGTCTGCGTCTTCTGTCTGGGGATAATGGAAGCTGTCATTTTAACATTTGTGGAAGACTGGTTTACAGCTATATCCAAAAGAAAGACCATTCTTTCTATCCTAAACATCTGGCAACCTTTATTCTATGTGACAATAGTCCCCATGCAACCTAATGTATCTCTCTCCTCTCCTCGTGGGCACCTTCTCTTTAGTTAAGCTGTTTATTTTGGTCTCCTGTGTAGTTCTCTACCTTTTCAAGGACCAGGCAAAAACTTGGACTAGTTCTTTTCTAATAAAAAGGAGAGTGTGAGTGGATTTCATGTTATAAATTCCTCTATACATCCAATGCAAAGAACTTAAGATTTACAAACCCAAATGTAAGTGAAAGATTCCTCTGGCCCCAGATAGATTTATCCACTCTTGGCCTTTTCACGATCAACCAACCATATAAGTCAGAACTTCATGACAAGCGAGGCGGCGGAATAAATAAGGGGAAAGGAACAGGGCTTCCGTTGCCTCCTTGCATTGTGTTTGCAACATCCATCTCGCTGCACTGGAATAAGTTTAATGAATTACACCACACGGCTCTCCTTGCTGAGAGATGGCCTTTCCAACCGTCGCGCCCCACAGACTTTGGGATGACTTGTCAGCATGCTCTTTTCATTTATCCAGGCCTGGGCAGTGGCTGTGATTCTGAAATGTGGCTAACTTTTTTTCACTGTGAGCACCGCATCCTTTTGACAACTGTTTGATTAATGACACTCATATGTCACTGGTTTCCAAAGAGTAGCCTTTAACTTCTAGGAGTGTGTGCTAGTTCCTTGATAATGGTGAATTACATCCTCTGAAAAGACAGCTAGACTGTTGCTGTCTTCTTGCACGCCCACCGCACAGTCTCAAGATGATGTATTCTAGAATGCCTCCCAAAAGACTGATGATGATGAGATCCAACTGGCCCAGTCATTGTCTTATATGAGCTGGACACCTAGCCTAGATGTTGCCCAGAGGAATATAGAAACAACCCTTGTGGATGGACCAAAAACGGACCATCCATTTTTTCATTGATTAATTTATTGTTTCTGTTTTTATGTATTCTATGCATGCCCTGTCCTTCTTCATAATAGCTCTAGATTGCTTTTAAAAATTACATTGATGACCCACCTTTCTTTCAATGATATCAAAGCAATGCACATGGCTCTCTTAATACTCACGTTACACTCTCAATAACCATGTGCGGTAGGTCAGTTTTTGAAACCCAAAATTCCTTCCGTCTAAGATATGAAGATGCACATTCTTCAAAGATAAATTGAAATAGAGTTCTCCATCATTTGTACCAAGCAGTTTCAATATATGCAGCTGTCCATAACATAGCGAGGAGTATGTTACATCCAGCTATCATCATCTTAGGACTACAGAGCTGGAAGGGACACTAATAGTCAAGGAGGCAGAGTGGGGAATCAAACTCTCAACATCTGGTTCTACAGCCAGAAACCTAAACTACTGGTATTAAAGATGCAAAGTGTGTCATAAAAACAAAACAGAGACAACCTGAACTCGGTATCAACCCAGTTTTAATCGAAAGCACAGGGATCCAAATACAGATTTCTAACTGTTTGAACATCTGGACCTGGATGGATCAGTCAGTTTCATTTTCTCCCACATTTGATCTTAAAAAATTAATAAATCTTACGTTCTTTGCATTTTTGAGGAAATTGGGGCATTTTAATCAGTTCTGACAGAAACTGAACTTAAATGAAATTTTTACCCATCGCTGATCACAACAGGATGGGAATAAAGGGAGATCGTGCCATTCTGAAACCAGACCACCCATAGACTGGAAGAGTCTTGATTTGTTAGACTGCTGTTTCTCCTTGTTGGTCCCCTGCAGTGCCCTGTGGAGGAAACATCACTGCCCACAATGGTACTATCTTCTCTCCTGGATTTCCCAATCAGTACCCAAACTCCCAGGACTGTATGTGGCTAATCACCGTCTCACCTGGTTATGGCATCTACCTCAACTTCACCTTGCTGCAAACAGAGCCATATAATGACTTCATCACTGTCTGGTAAGTGTCCCTGTGGACCATCTGAGCCCAGCGAGAGTTGCTCAACTTGAGTGGATGACATCTGAATGTGAAATAGTTTTGCTATCCCATCCTTCACCCTAGACATTGTTCCCAGTAGAATATCAGAGCTCATTACTCAGGGTCGTGGTGATGAGGGTACAGTTTTTACTCCTTAAGATTTATGCAACATCTAGTCCAGTGGCTTATTTAAGGGACCCATAATATGCTGGTTCTCATGAACGTATAGTACAACATGTGATGGGGAAACAGGACTAAGCTCACAATTTAGATTGCCCTGGCCCACCTTCAAGATCCACAGGCCATTAGGCTGTATGCAATGAAACAAGCAAGACAGATTCTGGGCCACATGGTTATTAATTCACATTGAATCAAACTAATGACATTTCATTCCAGATTTGCACAAGCAACCCCAGGTCAGATGCATCCATCCGGCGAGGTGGATCATCACAATCCTCCTTCCCCATCACATTTGGCTTGCATTTGTCTCAACTGGCCAAAGACATGCAGAACAGTTCCTAGCCAACGGTCTTCAAATTTTAGGATCTGACCCTAAAGACGTCCATAGCTTTTAATGGGTTCTGCATCAAGAGTTTTCCCTCGATTTTCCATTATTATTCTTCAGCAGCTATGTTTTTTATGTTTTCATTTCTCCTCAAGTGATCTTGGCCAGTTGGGGACTAGGAAACATAAAAGCCTTACTTATGTTCATGGATTTAACTATATACTGACGTCTTTATGGGCAAAGGAAAAGCAAGGAAGTTGCTTCCTGTGACAATCTTATGGCAATCATAGCCAACCAGGAAACACTCTAAGATTTGAACAGCATCTGGTCTCTCATGAGGGAGTCCCCTTTCAGTTATGACAATAGGTGCAATAAGCCATATGCTCTGCAGTGTTTAGTGCTATACTAAATCTATGTCGCATACATGGCAAGCATGTGAATTTTATTTTAATGTGATAAAGGTAGCAACAGAACTTTGTGGGAGGAGTGATCAGTAGCGACAGAAAGGAATTCTCAGCCAACATATCAACAGCCAGGAAAAGAAAAACATGAATCAGCTGAGAATCCATTCATCTTCAATAAGAATCCCCATTCCCAATACTGTAATTACAATCCTATTTTTATTTTTAAATCTTTTTTTTTAAATAAACAGGCCCATATTCAAAGATCTTAACACACAGGAAAGTTCTTGTAGAAGGTGATGCTTTCTCGACTATAAGGCAGAGGAACATGTGCCCATTCCCAATACTTTTCCATGTATAAGACACCCCCATGTATAAGACACCCTCCACTTTTCTAATCCAAAATTAAGAAATCTAAATGGGGCTTAGCAAGTGCAGAGGGAAAGGGATCAAGGTGTTGCAGGGTCGCTTTGATTCCTGCTTTCCCCTCCACTTGTTTTTGTTCTCTCCTCAACTTTCGTGTATAAGATGACCCTCAACGATTTTAGACAAAAGTATTGTCTTATACACGGAAAAATACGGTATGCTATATTCCAAGAAATGGTTAACCCTTGTGTCCTAGAATAGTCGAATATCCTCAGAAGGAGGTAGGTAGCCGAAACCAAGATGAAAACTGGACAGGCAGAAGATGGACAGTCTCTGACTATAGAAGTGAGCCCTGGTACCCTCCTTCGGAAATTGGTGACCTGGACAGACGGGTTGTAGCAACTGACTAGCCTCTGAGAATTGGGGGCTGCTCTGTCTGCAGTTCCTGTTCCATCCCTAAGCTTGGGTGGTGCCAAGGAGTCAGTCTACAGCACCTCTGTTCCAAACCACACATCTCTGGACAGTCCCTTGTGTACTTCTTCCTTCCTTTCTTTCTTGTTTGCTTCCTTTCATTTTCTCCATTTTCTCTTTAGGGATGGCCCTCAACAAACAGCTCCACAACTGGGTGTTTTCACAGGAAACTCGGCTAAAAAAGCCACTCAAAGCTCTTCCAACCACGTCCTCCTGAGATTTTACAGTAACACAGCCAATGGAGGCCTGTTTGCTATCTCTTTCTATGGTCTGTACTGCTCACTGAGAGCTCAGCGCTTGCTATCGGATGTATATCTTTTTAAATCAAGCCATGTAGTAGCAATTGTTCACGTCTGTATCCCTGATGTATTCACACAATCGTTTATAAGATGTGCTCCCTGCTGTAGAACGGCACCCAACGTGGTGTGCCGAGGGGAGGAAAATCTCTCCCAATAAATAAATGGAAACCATTAACCAATAGGGCCTGAATCTTATTGCTGATTCACTTTTTTGTATGAGAAACTGCGTACATTGCAGCAGCATTTCTGAGTATGTTGCCTATCAGGCATGTACCCTAAAACACAATGTTGTTGTTGTTGTTGTTGTTATGTGCCGTCAAGTCGGAACCGACTTATAGTGACTCTAATAAGGCTTTCAAGGTCCGTGAGATATTCAACAAGTGGTTTTACCACAAAATTTGGCTTCTGGTTTTCCAGCTTATTTATAACTGCTAAGATTTTTGACAAGGATGTTAAACCCACAGGTCCACATAATGCATGTGGTTAACTGTTCTGTACTCTGACATGTCCTGTTCATTCTCTTCTCTTTTCAGCCTACCAGCTTTCCAGGTGTCATCCTCCAACCATGGTCCCCAACGCAGAAATTATCACTGAGAACGAGGATTACAATATAGGTATTGACTGCATACACTCCCAGGCGTCTTCTTGGCATTATTTTTTTGCAGCACAAAATGGGCCATGATTCAGAGGACATCTGTCTTCTCCTCCTACCTGCTCCATCCTTACTTAACAGCTTTCTCTGTCACCTAGTTCAAACCTGATTTAGCTTCCATGGCCCATATCCAGTTGGGCACCTTCTCTGATTTCAGGCGGACCCCAGAAGAGGGAATTTGCACCCTCCCCACACAGTGCCCACACAATTTTAGTATCTGCTGCAAGGGCCACGGAAACCCTTCAGAGCAGAATGTCACATGGGATGGACGGATGGACGGACGGACGGACGGACACTGAGATGAGGACAGATTTTATTTTTAGATGCAGAGGATTGAGGGTCTCCTGGTATCTCATGTAGTTTGACCATTAACCATATGGAGTCTTTGGTCAGCTTCAGTGGGGTGTGGGCTGTTGCAGTCGCTGAAACCTATCTTTATCCTTCTGGTTCTCTTTGCCAGGTGATATCATTAGGTATCGGTGCCTTCCTGGCTTCACCTTGGTTGGAAACAAGATCCTTACCTGCAGGCTTGGCACCAGTCTCCAGTTTGAAGGTCCTCCCCCAACCTGTGAAGGTAAGTTGCTTTGGGGTGCAGTTTGGGAAGTTATTTTAAAGAAAAATCATTCTGCTCTGGGTCCTGTCTTCTCATTCCTGCTCATAGATTTTATATATATAGATTTTAGATATATATTGGTGGTGGCCAGGAGTACATTTGAACCATTAAAAGCAGAGTGCCAGGTCCTTGCAACATTTTGTCCTTCACTTTTCCCCCCTCTTTATTCCCCCACCCCTTTAATATTCTGTTCTCCAGTTTTTGTACTGAAAGATCTTGAGCATTTCTCCAGTTCTGTGCAATTTCATAGTTGAAGTTCCTGCTCAGTTATAGATGAGTTCAGCATGTTATCGCTTTCATTTCCCTCAGAGGAACATCTCCAGCTCTCCTTTAGAAAAGGAGTTGCTTTCGAAAGGCTATAAGCAAAAGGGCCAGAAAAATTGCCACAGGGGGAAAAAACACAGGCAAGAAACTGATCCCCCAAACCTACCTTTTGCATAGATATTTTAGTAGTATTTTGTTACATAAATCTAGAAAGTCAGCCAACAGTAGGTATAATAACTATATGACTATATCAAAAAATAGGTCTGAACAAATCTATCAGTTTCTCTGTATCCTCAGTAAAGGTCTCTTTACTGCATTTGATGAAAAGTTGATTTTTTTTAATCCTACCTTCTTTCCAACTTGCATAAGAAGAAAAAGTGCAAACTCTGGTAATTTGTTTTTGCTAAAATTATTCCCCCCCCCTAAAAAATATCCTCATACATTTGTGCGCGTTATTTGATATCGAGTTGGAAGCAGCTTTTATGAGCAGCCCTGTTAAGGCTTTCAAGGTAAATGAGACATTTAAGGAGAGGTTTTATCAATTCCACACCCCCAGTGAGTTTCCATGGCTGAGCAGAGATTTGAACCCAGGCCTTCTAAGTCCTAATCTGTCACTCTGTCTATTATACCATACTGGGTATCTCCACTCATCTACCTGCATTGCCAAATACTATAGTGATGAGAAAAAAATAGGAAAAGGTCTCACTCAGTGAAGCTCATGCTTGGAATTCAAGCCTCCCCTGTTCCCTCTTTGATGCTCCTGTGAAATGTTTAGATAGGTGATCAGAATTATTTTTAATGGAAACCTAGTAAGGCTGCTGCCAGTTAGAGTCAAGTGTGATGGGCTAATGAACTGAGAGTAGTGGGGAAAGGCTTCTTATGCCCACAGAACAAACCTCTTAAACTTAAGATAGGCAAAGCCACTTGCAGGAATCATTTTTGCGACCCTCGTCGTTCTTTCTGTCTGGTACTGACATAACATGATATTTCCCGCTCTCTTTTGTGCCATTTAGTTCCCTGCCCAATAAACAAACTCCTGACCAACTCTACGGGTGTCATCCTGAGCCCCTCGTTCACGGGCACCAACCCCCACTTTCAAACTTGCTCTTGGGTGGTCAAGGTGGAGCCAGAATACAACATCACCTTCACCGTCGAGTATTTCCTGAGCGAAAAGGAATACGATGAGTTTGGGATATTTGATGGTGAGTTATCCAGAAGCTTTCCGAAACAGGTGCTTTGATAGGCGTCAGATAAAATCTTGTTGCCTAGCATAGTAAGTTGAGTCGTTGGCGATTTGGTGAGTCGTTGGCGATTTGCTGGGCAAACTCCTCCATATTGATTCGAACAGGCCAACTCTAGTTGTGACTTACATTAGCGTTGCAACTAGAGTAGGCCTATTTGAGTCATTGGAACTTCCAAACGAGTTGGCATACAAAATCCCCCGATTCAGTAGAATTTACTACACTAAGCAACAGTATTTTAGCTTTTGAGTTGTTCATGTTTTGGGAAGAAGGATACATATGGAGAGGGGGATACTGTCCATATGGAGTCTTACAGGATTATAAGATGAGGTTTTTATGGGCCTTTTGGGGCACTTTTCAGAAAGAGTTTGACATAAACTGTTCTGGTTTTATGCCATTTCTGTTATCCATCTTATATATATATAACCTTCTCCCCCTCAAAAGAACTAATGAAAAATAATGGAGTAGCTGAGACATCCTATGCCTCCATCATGACCTCCCTCCCCAGGCTTCCCCATTCCCCATTCCCTCCAGTTTAGCTGCAACCCTCCCAGTATCTTGGACAGAAATGGATGTTCCCAAGAACAGTATAATGGCGCAAAGCTGTCTCTGTTCTCATGTAGAATAATTGAGGTGGTTTGTTCTTCAGTGAGTGATGAAGAGCCATTCCCTCTACCCAAAACCTGCTTCTCATTTGTTGATATGGCCTGATCCAGTGTATTTGTGTATTCTTTTGGATAAGGAAGGGAAGGCTGTTTCCAGGGTGGGGGGGCTGCCATAATGAGTACTTTCACTTTCAGATTCACCTGACAGAAATGGGAGAGAAAATTTTTTTTCTGTTAAACTACAGGGCCCAGAATTATGTGCTCGGTATGGTCACTATGATGCTGACTGCAAACTTCTGGGGGTTGTAGTCCAAAAATGGAAAAATTTTCATCGGGGGGGGGGGGGAGAGAGAATTGAAATGGCACAGTGCTAATACAGTGAGTTACATGAGTTGCTCTTTTGACATTGTTACAAGCAATCCCGCTGAATAACTCATTGATGAATAATGAGAACAAATTAGTTTTTAAAAGTAACTTCGCAAGCTATGATTCTAATGTTTGGCCCAATCCAGCAAAAGTCTTCAGATGTTCATATGTGATCCGTTGCCTGGCATTTCTTCTAGGTCCTTCAGGTCACAGTCCTCTGTTGCTGTCTCTAAGTGGGAATTACTCAGCTCCATTAACAGTGACCAGTACGGGCAACAGGGCCTATCTACACTGGTCTTCTGACCATGCCTATAGCAGGAAGGGCTTCAGGATCCGTTATTCAGGTTAGTAAGTGTTGTAAAATTGACAATTCCCTTATAATTAATAAAAGCATGTGTTGTCCAGTCACTCTGGCTTATGGCGACCCTTCTCATGGTTTTCCAGGTTAGCAGAGTACAAAATGCCAAACAAACAGCTACAGCATGAAGAAAACTAACTAAATAAATAAAAATAAAATAAAAATCCCAGGTTCCACCCAGCCCTTTTGTTCTCACAATTAAACCAACCCTTGCATATTAAAAAAATCACCTCTACAAGTAGCTTAAGTAGAAAAGAAAAGCATCTTTATTTACAGCTGATCTTCAGTTCCAATCAGAAGAGTAAAAAATTCTGATTGTAACTGAAGATCACCTGTACTTCCTGCCTCTTCAACCATGTTTGAGGCTCAGTCCACCATTGCCACCCCATATAGAAAAATTACTTGTCTGCTCTGATTGATAGTCAGAGAGAGCGAAGGAAGCAAGACAAATAGGAAGAGGGGAAGGACAGACCAGAAGTATGAGAAAAGAACTTTCCTAACTGGTTGGTGGGAAAGGAGAGAAATCCCCGTAAATCCTAAAGCATGTAAGATTATTAATTTCTCAAATAGTAAGTAGCAGAGATGGAAATGGCTGGAGGGCTGATGCAGAAAGCGATAATGAGCGGAGAAACATGGATGCTTTAATTTGGATGTTGCTGTTGTCATCATTCTCATTTTTGGCAGTTTTAAGTTATAAATAGAATCCTAGCATCTGTTCCTCACATACAAAAATATTCCAACCTTGTTTTGTTGGCTAACTCATGCAGTTTTTCACCAAGTTGTGACAGAGAGAGAGATTGTAGGCCAATGCATACTCTCTTGAGAATAAGCTTCCTTGAATTTAGTTGGAATAGATAGATTTGGAGCAAACGAGCATACAACTGCAATGTGGATAGAATATTATTCTGGGTTATATTTTGCATCTGGTTCATTTTGGAAAGTTTTTTTGTTTTATAACCAAAAGACAACACACAATCCTAATTAAGAAAGGAAAACAGCCATTTTTATCTACTAAAGAGAGTGTGTGCATAAAACCACGAGGCAATATTTATTCCAGATTTAGTGATCTGGGGTTGGAGGTCTATGATTTCACATAACAACTCACCAGAATCAGATTATCCATTTGCAGGCATTATTCTTTGAGTTTTAATGTCCTAAAGCAGTGGTTCCCAACTTTGGATAATTCAGATGTTCTTGGACTGCAATTCCCAGAAACCCTAGCCAACACAGCTAGTTGGTGAAGGCTTCAGGGAGTTGCAGTCAAAGAATACCTGGGTTACTCAAGGTTAGGAAATACTATCGTATTTTGAGGCACTGACTTTCCCAGAGCAATGCAAAGCTTTTACAGAACTGAGATTCCAACAGATGCCCTCTGCATATCATGAAGGGCGATACCAAGGAATTCCATTTACAGAACGCAAATGTAGTTTTGGCTGTAGTCAGATTGAAGATATAATTGATTAATTATTGTTCTGTCCTCTTTAAATGGATCCTAGGGAAAGATTCTTATCACCTCCTGTCTAGTTGTCTATTAATGGTACTTCTGAGGAAGGAGTATTAGGGTTGCTTAGTGATAACCAATCACTGCCCTCTGGAGATAAATATTTCAGGATATTTCTTTACAATAGGATCTAGGAGTACACTTGTTGCTAGGCTGTGGCTGAAATCCAGTAGTAAATTGCAACTAGAGTAAGCCTGTTGAATCAATGGAACTGACATAGTTACTGATTCAATGGGCCTACCCGAGTGGTAACTTACTACTGGATTTCAGCCATTGTTTCAAAAGAAGATGCATCCTGATCTCAAGTATTATTTAACAGTGGCTTTGCATTTACACTCTGGGAAAGATACCAAACGTTGTCTTTTTAACAGTGATAGCCTGCCACTGTCAAATCAGGGGATTGCTAATTTGACAAAACCCAGATGTTTATATGACTGAGTGATGTGCTTTTATTATCTTTCAGAGAGAACAGAAACGTTTTCTGAATAAAGATTAGGTAGTTAATAGAGCCTTTGGTCTTTTGTTACATCTGGTTTGTAATAGACTTTTGTACTGAGAAACGTATGCAATAATTACTATTGTTACTGTTGTCGAGGATGTATCATTTCTGTATTCACACCTATATAAATGAGCCCTTTCAATTATAAAAGTTTGTAAATCCTTGTAAAGAATATCACTACTAATTTCTGTGGCCAGAATTTTGTTGAAATTACTTCAAGCAAAATAGAATTTATAGAAATAGCTATGTGATGACATATCTGCAGTGTGCCTGTCACATCCCTGGTCACATGACCATCAAACAGCCATAACCGTTTTTGCAATTTCCATTCCATGTACAGTAATCCCAATAAGATACTGACCCGTGAAAAATATGCCTTCAACGAGAAGTTGCAGTGTACTCACTGCAGTGAAGAGCAACTTCAAGATTCCATCCTACCACCCAATGCCAACTTTCCACTTTTTCATAGAATCATAGAATAATGGAGCTCAAAGGAGCCTATAAGGCCATCAAGTACAATCCCCTATTCAAGGCAGGAATCCAAATCAAAGTAGATCTGACAGAGGGCTTCAGACTTCCCTTTGAATGCCTTCAATGCTGGAGAGCTCACCACCTCCTGAGATCATTTGTTCCATTGTCCTACTGCTCTAACAGTTATGAAGTCTTTTCTGATAATCAGTTGAAATCCCAATTCCTGCAGCTTGAGCCCATTACATTATTATGTGTTCTACACTCTGAAATGATTGAGAACACATCCACTCCTCTGTATGAAAACCTTTGAAGTATTTGAAGGATGCTTTTCCTTCTCAGTAGTCAGCATTATTTTATTTTATTTAATTTATTCTATTTACAGTATATCCTGCCTATCTGGTCGATTATGGGCCCACTAACCATGATCAATCTTCCTCAAGCTGTTTTGGTCTTTTTCCATCTAGAATTTATATCCCGCCTATCTGGTCAATTATGGGCCCACTAACCATGATCAGTCTTCCTCAAGCTGTTTTGGTATTTTTCCATCTAGATTATTTTTTTTTATTTTTCTTCCTTACTTTTATAAAACATGAGGTTCTCCCAAATCTGTTGATACTTCTTCTTTGTGAATGGATGGTGCTATTTTTGCCACGTCATCATCCATACCATGGGAATGGCATTGTGACTGACAAATAGGTAATCACCAACTCACAATATGGGTTATTCACCATCAAGTCAATTCTGAGTTAGGACTTTAGTAGTTTCCAATTTCTGTCTCACAATACAGTGATGCCCCGCTTTACGATTGCCCCCCATTATGACAAAACCACATTATGATGATGTTTTTGCGATTGCTTATGCGATCGCAAAACGATGGTCTGGATAGGGGTTTTTCGCTTCGCGATGATCGGTTCCCTGCTTTGGGAACCGATTCTTCACAAAACGATGATTTTTGGACAGCTGATCGGCGGTTTCAAAATGGCCGCCGGGTAAATAAAATGGCTCCCCACTGTTTTCTGGGACGGATTCCTCGCTGCACAGGCACCGAAAATGGCCACCCTATGGAGAGGATCTTCGCTGGACGGTGAGTTTCCAGCCCATTGGAACGCATTGAAGGGGTTTCAATGCGTTTCAATGGGCTTTTTATTTTCGCATTACATTTTCGGTCTACAGCAATTTCGCTGGAACAAATTAACACCGTAATGCGAGGCACCACTGTACAAGTGAACATAAATTCCACCACCAGGCTTGACACCATTGCTAAATTCCAAGGGCCAGTATCTTCTTTGTCTACATGTAACATAATGTTATTCCTGCATAAATTTGCCAGGTCTTCGGCACAGACAATGAGGATTGAGCCATTCAATTGCGCCATTGGTGGTGCAGTTCCCATCGTGACTGATCACACAATGGACCTGAAGAAGTGCTTTGTGAATGGCACTTCTGCCTTGGTGTGGTTTTACAGTTACCATGTACCTAAGGTGGAGTTACACAAATGTCCCAGCACAAGAGGACAGCCAATGAGATTCATATGATTAATCAACACAGAAAAGATAACCACTAGGGTTATGTTAGGTGTCACTAGCACACACCTGGTGATTATCTTTGCTACCCAAATCTTTTTGTGTATAAACTTATAATCTATAAAGGAAATCGAAAGGACATCCTGTCCCTTCCTTGTCCACCAAGAGCGTTTCAAGCAGCGTCACCCAACAGTCAATTTAAACTTGGCATTACTATCGTCTTTAAAAACCAAGAATAATAGACCTTCACCCACTTCCCTCATCCTTTTTGCCCATCCAAGACATATCAAAGCTGGATGCTTACCTGCTGAGCCTTTCAAATCAAAATAGCAAGTAGTTAAGTTTCAAAGGCGATGGAGGTCAAGTATAAAAGTAGCAAGAAACCTGAACGCAATATTACCCCTTGCTGTTATTCAAGCCTTAGCACCTGACAGTCCTGGGCAGCTGCCCTAGTCACAGTCTGATCCACCAGAACTGATTGTTTTCATTTATTTTGTCAGTACAAGATTTCCAGCCGGTAGGAGCTCAAGGTCAGAGAAGTTGGGGAACAGACTCACCCCTGTTTGGGTTTGGGCACCCATAGTTTTGATCCTAAATTGCCTGTGGTGCCATCTGTTTGTCATGCAAGGTAAAGCCTGAACAAATGGGTGTCTGGACACACCTTCTGTATTTTGGTATTTTTTTAAAAACCAACTATAATTAATTTTTGTTGTTGTTGTTTTTTTTAAAGAACAAAGCTTGGAAAGAAAGAAAGAAAGAAAAGAGAAATAGTCACTAGTTTTTTCATTAGCATTTTCAACGTGGGCATTTTACACTGGTCCGGGTTTCATGCAAATTTTAATTATCCCCCCTGTATGAAAGCAATTACTGAGTGTTTGGCAAAGAGCCCCTTAAAATTAAACAACCCATTCTTGGAATGAAGCAAATTTTAATTACTTAATGAAAAGCAATCACACTCAAGACAGGAACACATATAACTGTGTCATAAATAAGTTAATGCTGTTATTCCGTAAATGAATTAATTAATATTTAATTGGCAGGAATTATGTTTTGGTTTCGTCGCTGAATGAACGCCAACAATGGCTTTGTGCCTCTGAGCTGCTGTGCTTTCTTACTGTTTCTTTGCCGATGTTTCAAGTCTGAAACAGTTAAGTTATACCTCAAAAAGTCGCATAGGAGGCAGGGAAGGAGAGAGGCTTAATTTAAGAAGTAAAAGGTACAATTTGTAACTAAATATTAAAAAGATTAGAACAGGAGAGTCAGAGTAAGAGGTCCATATTGCCCTTGTGTCAGATATAGCTAGGTAGCTAGCTAACTTGCTGATTGATTGATTGATTGATTGATTGATTGATTGATTGATTGATTGATTGATTGATTGATTGATTGATTGATTGATTGATTGATTGATTGATTGATTGATTGATTGACTCACTGCTTTTCTCCCAATAAGGGGACCCAAGGTAGTTCGCAATATTAGAAGAACAGAATTAGGAACATAAGAAATTGAACATTTTTTAAAAATTAAACGATACTTCTCCCAATAAGGGGACCCAAGGTAGTTCACAATATTAGAAGAACAGAAGTAGGAACATAAGAAATTGAACATTTTTTTAAAATTAAACAATACACTAATTAAAATACAATTGAATAATTAAAAGCAAGTAAACATTAAAAACTATCTTAACTTTAAAATGTTAATTTGCGCCCAAAGGCAGAACACAGCTTTGAAAAATTAGCATCATTATTTCTATTATATGTGGGCCTTCAAATGGCTGGACTGAGTTCCTTGAATTTCGGGTCCTTCGCAAGGACCTTGGATTTTCATAGGCATTTCCTTAACATATGTGCTGTTCGAAGTCAGCACATTTTCTTGAGTCTTGTTGAGGTAGCCACCCCTTTTCGAATTTGTGATAAAGGTGAACACTTCCTTTTGCTTCTTTTGATACTGCAGCTTTATTGCAGAGCTTTAATGGTCTGGACACCTAGTAATTCTGTTTATCGCCTTATGGGAACCACCTGTGGTATACTCTTTTTTTTTTCGCAGAAAAGGGATTTAGAAATAAATATTTGTGGCTAAATTGTATCTGGTTGCAGAGCTAGAGGCTGGGGGTTCAATTTCCCCACGGGGCCTCCAGGGAGAAGAGCCAGCCTGGGTGGCCTTGGGCAAGCTGCACAGGAGTCCCAGAGCTTCTCCCAGAAGAAGGGGAGGGTAACCTACTTCTGCGTATTCTCTCCCTAGGAAACCCTGAAAAGGGTCACCATAAGTCATTGACATGACAGCTTGCTATTATTTGTTTGTTTGCTTGTCTGTTTGTTATATTTATATTCTTTCACCTAGAGTGACATATGTGGCTTTCATTCTCAACACTTGACTCTTGTGAAGTAGCTCAGGCTGCATGTGAGTGATTAGTGCAAGATCATCCAATGAATTTTGGGACCCAGTGAGAACCTGACACAGTCAGTTTTAACTGCAACATGCTGGTAGCTTGGCCTTCATGTCAAGAGCTCTGGACACACTTACCCCCAGCCTAGGCGCTGGATTTTGTTTGTTTGTTTGTTTGTTTCATTATAGCTCTCAGAATTATAGCTAGGAATTTCCTCAGCTAGAATTCTGGTAGCTTTAGCCAAAACACCCAAATGCTCAGACAATTTCAGGATCCCTGTTCCTTGTCAAATAACTGCAAGGCACTAGGGGACTGGTAGCCTCTCTGTTCCCTAAGCTCTATAAAGAGTGTTTCTCAGAAAAACAGAACATCTCCTAATGCCTTGCACTTCCCATGGAGCTCAGAAAGCTCCACCTATGTCCTTCTCCATGTTTCACAAAGAGAAACGTGCCAGGCACAAGTGCTGATGCTGGAACTCCTCTGAGGACTTGAATTTTTGACCAAAACCTCCAGCATTCTAGCTGGAGAAATTCCTGGTGAACTCTGGTAGACGTAGTGAAAAAAATCTGAAAATCCTGTGCCTACTCCAGACCTCATACTTCCTTCGTGACCATCAGATGAACTGGGAAACAAGGCATACACATGGCAGTGTGACCGTAGACCCCAAGAGTTTAGGGCTAAGGTTTACACGGGAAGAATGTGAACAAAAGCAGCTGCCTGATTCTTTTGCTCTGTTTTGTCCATGATTTCATCCCTCTTGGCATGTTCAGGCCAGTGTTCTCCTTCTTTCTCCAGCTCCTTATTGCAGCCTTCCTTCACCTCCTTTCCATGGCTCCATCCTGAGCCACACCGGCCTACAACCAGGAAGCACCATCCATTTTGGTTGTGACGCCGGCTACCGCCTCGTTGGCCACAGCATGTCGACTTGCGCAAGGCACCCACAGGGTTACTTCCACTGGAACGAAGCCATTCCTTTATGCCAAGGTGAGTAGCTCAACCTGAACATAATACAGAGTTGGTTTGCTTGTTTGTGTGTTGGACGTCATCCCGTTATAATGGTGCGCTGGCTCTTATGTTGCATTAGTCTGAGATTTGGAGTTGAAGCGTTCGTTTTTGCACTGTGTGCCCATATATCTTGCTCTCTCAATTTGAGGGCAAGAAACAATTCGTTCCATGCTTACTTTCTTCTTCCACTGCCACTGCTGGGGGAAGATTATAGGCCATCAGTTGCCTTTTGTTCTTTGCCTCAGACATCAAAAGGTCTTTGGCCACTTCTGCGTCTCAGGTGATGCAAGAGGATTCAGTGTCTGCTTTCCCATTTTAGAAGGGTTTCCTACCCCCCAACAATCAAAGGTGAAGCTGATTTAAACACACAAACCGACACTGCCAAAGAGGGGGAGATAGATGGATAGTAATGCTTTCCAAAATTTGCTACTAGATCTCACAGATCTGCCAACGGGATGCTAACAATCAAAGGAAATCTATTTGAATGGAGGAAAACACAATGAGGTGATGGAGGAAACCATGAATAGGGCAATGACATCTCGTAGGCATCTAAAAACCCAACTGGTCACCATTTTTCCCCCATATAAATTTGGAATTACCCCTCAAGTGAAACCTCTGTGTAACTTCAGAGGAAGCCATCTAAGTTTCCTGCTGGTCCCACAAAATCTAACTTTTGCACAAAAACAATTGAGACTCAGATCTGATGAAATCTCCTGCCAGCAGGCTAAGTATGGCATCAGCTGGATAAAATCTTCTTAATACCTACCTCCTTTTCAAGGCCAAGAGGAGAGCCTGAAATTTAAGAGACGTGGGATCAAAGCCATTCATTTGAGCAAAACGATGGCATCGGGGTGGTGCAGCCTAAGCCCTAGGATGGGGTTGCCGTGGCAACTGTAACTCTTCCATCCACCCCTCTACTACATATTAGCTCCATCCATACCACCCACCCAACCCATGCAAGCACGACTCCCCCTGCAAAACCAGGAATTAATTATCAGCCTGTTCTGAAACAAAGAGCAGGATGATTTTTTTTTAACTTCTGGAACCCAAGCAAATTGGCCACCGTGATCATCCTGCCATCCCCAGAGAGCTGATTGCTCCCAAAGGGCACCTTCCCATTGAGTAATGCCACCTCCTGAGCCACCATAAAAAGAAATTTTAAATATCAAGCAGCGAAGCGTGCTGCTTTTCAAGGCAAGGGAAGTTCCTACAGAGTCTCCTGCAGTTGTCGTGAAAACACCAGGCCCCGGATCACTGAGGAAAGAAGAAAGGATTCCCCACCACGACCACCCTTTTTTTAATTGCACTAATTTTGATAATAGAGTAGTAGAGCTGAGAGGATGCAGCCGGCAACGGCTGGTCATTCGCTTTTGTCATTCATTCCTTGAAACCCCAATAGGCAAGAGGTACAATCTAAGCCCTCCAGATGCTTCTGGACTGCAACACCCATCATCCGTCACCTTTTGCTCTTCTGGTTAAGGCTGAAGGGAGTTGCAGTCCAAGAGCATCTGAAGGGGGAGTGTTCTCTACCCCACAAATCTATAATTCTCCTGAAACTGATGGTCTCTCTCGCTCCCTGGTCTGTGAAGTGCATACACTTCCCCACCATGGTTGGATAAGTTAATTTATTTATGATGAAGCCACTAACTGTCCTGTTGTCATGCACTACAGCATTTCAACGTGACCAGGCAATTTCAGCTGCAGTTCTGCTGTTGTGCTGTGGGCCTGAATACATATTTCTTAATAAAATATGTTCACAGCAAAAATAAAAAGACAATTGATGAATGAAAGAACGTGATTGATATCAACAGATGTGTTTGTTTTAAGGGCTCCAGCCTTTACCCTTAAACCTTCTGCAACCTGCTGTCCTTCATACGCATTTAACTATCACTCCAGCTCCAACAGCACTGACTGAGGATGATGGGAGTCGTGATCCCCCATATTGGGAGAGTAGCAGGCTTAGGGAGGCTGCCAGAAATTGGGGAGGCATGTAATGGTGACTTGAGGATGGCTGAAGAGCATAGAAGACTGGTATAGCAAAGGTGACTTGAGTGATGATTGATTGGTTGATTTGATTTGATTTTTTTTTACACTTTTATGGCGCATCATCTGGCCTGGGGCCACACCGGGTGGTGTACAACAGAGATTAGTTTTGTTTAATAGCTTTTCTGGTTTTCCTCACTTTGGAAGCAGTAAAGGATGATTGAGAGTCAAACTAGACATTACAGCTAGTCCATCATTAAAAGCAGATCTCTCTTAAGAGATTAAAAAAAGGTCTGTTGACTGTAGCACAAGCTTTCCTTGCCTCTGCTCATTGTACATTAGCTTGCTTTTGTTTACTGGGAGATAAACATGAGCTTCATTTGTAGGTCTGATTGCTCCAGAGCACGGCTTTGAAGAAAATAGGTTACTGGAGGGAAAATGTTTTATCAGCTTCTAATGATGAACCTGATATCTCATTTAATTTGACCTTGAGAGGAATCCTGGTGGAAACTGAGAGAGGTTTTGTTGGATTAGCAGCAACTTTAGCTGCATTCTCAAGAGCACCAGAAATTCAAGCAGCCAAACCATGTTGAACAGATTTTTTGGAATTTGTGAGTTTCTTTGCTATTAAATGTTTTTGTCTAAAAGTCCATACTCTGCTTTGGATGGGGATGTTTATCTTGATTCTTTATTATTTTGCCATCTTCTAAGCTACAAATTCGTTCTGTTTCCATAACATTTAAATATACTGTAGTTAGAAGTCTCAAAATACTCACAAATGCACAATTTCTCTGAAAACATTTGCTTGAAAATAATTTATTTATTTATTTATTTATTAAATTTATACCCCGCCCCTCTAGACCATGTCTACTCGGGGCGGCTTACAACATAAAATATATCAACATAAAATATATCAACATAAAATATATATAATCATAAAAAATACAATTACTATATTAAATAAGGTGTCTGAAGGATCAAATTTGAAATAATGCTCCATGAGACATTAGATTCATGTAATGGCAGCAGCACTGAATTGATAGAAATGCCATCCCCCAAAAAGCCACTATCCCATGCCAGTTTGAAAAGAGAAACATGGATAAAATATGGTGGTTAGTTGTAATTATTTAAGCATTGTTTCAAATGAGGGTAAACTTAGTAACAGGCAAACTCCTTGGACTTCTTTAAGCTGAAATATTTGGCTGTGTTAGAGGAGATGATTCATGGTATCATGGGCCACCCAAAAGAGAAATAAATGGGTTCTAGGTCACATCAAGTCTCAAGTCTCATTAGAAGCTATGAGTATATTTAGGCATGTATACCAACATGACTTTGACCCAACTCCGAGAAGCAGTGGAAGACAGGAGGGGTTGGTGTGCTCTGGTCCATGGGGTCACGAAGGGTAGGACACGACTTAATAACTAAACAACAACACTTAGGCTATTGTACCTTGTACATATCATGAGAAGATAAGACACAGTAAAAGATAATAATGCAAAGAAGAGAAGAAGACCTAATATCGAGATGGGCTGACTCAGTAAGAGAAATCAGACCCTTGAATCTGCAAGATTTGAGACAGTCAGATCTTGCAGATTCAAGGGCCTTGGGCGAGCTGCACAGTCCAATATCAAGGAAAGACTACTCAAGACCGAGTATTTTATGTCTAGAAAACCTTTGGAAGCTTGTCATAAGTCAGAAATGACATGACAGCACATACGTATTAATTGCAAACAAATAAACTTTAGAACGGTGGTTCCCGACCTTGGGTCACCCAGGCGTTTTTGGCCTGCAGTTCCCAGAAGCTTTCACCACCAGTTGGGCTGGCCGGGGTTTCTGGGAGTTGCAGTCCAAGAACAATCTGGGTTGCCCAAGGTTGGGAACCACTGCTGTAGGATATAATTGATCCATAGATTCACCTTAGGTTAGAGGCAATTTGACCACATTCCACACACACAAGAACTCCCGGTCACCAGCCTGCCACCCCTCTCCAACTTTTTAAAACTTACCGTTTTGTAGGGACAGGAAAAACAGGCAGCCCAGGGTCTGGATGTCCCTACGGAAGTGAGCTCATTGAAGCCCAGGCTAATTCCAGGAAGAATGCAAAGCGTGGTTTCAAACCCTTCCCGACTCAACTATTGTGATTAGCAATGATTTGGGGATTATGGCAGTGCCTCACTAGCTTGTTCCAAACTTGATCCCAAACCCCAGTTGAGTTCCTTTTGTGGCTGACAAACGTAACCAGCCCAGCACCACTCTTCCTGCTGATGACCGTTCCGCGCTCTTTCGGATATAAATATTGACTCATCTTTCCCCTCGGCTACTCTGTGCAACTTTGTTGTCTGTGTCACTTGTGGAGGGCAGGATTCCAGGAAGCAGATGGTGAATTTATTACCACAATGTGGAAGAAAGAAAAGGGAAGAAGAAGCCAAACAGCTTTCACTGGTCTTTGTCGTGCCTGGTTCATCAAGATTCCATCGCTCCGTCTTCTGCCAGGAGGGGCAACATTTTCCAAACAGGGGGTGTCATTCTGACGCAGAAGAGGGGGGCGCCATCTTGTTTGGATGCACTGGTGGCCGAATCCAAGAGGCTGTGACAGAATCCATTCCTGCCCCGCCATCTGTGCTAAGAGGGAGGTGGATGAGAGTCAAGGGTCTTCTTTAGTAGCTAAATGAGCTTTTTTGGTGAACTACAGCTGGCCTGGGCAGGCTCACATTAGGACTAACTAGGCTGCATATTGACATAGGATTAATAGAAATGCTCCAACTGGAGGCTGTTGCAGGATGATGGGAGCAGACCTGCCAGCTGTTAAAAGATGGTTAATTAAACTGTGGAATATCACAGTTGCTGCGCTGGCAAATGGTTATACAAAGCCAAGAGAGGCCAGAATTTCTACAGTCGCAGTGGAGTGAAACGGTGCTTTTTTGCCTTGTTCTTTCTGCTTCGGAGGACAAAGAAATGTGATTTGGAATTTGCTTTTCCGAGCGCTGTCGCTCATG